GAGGCGCGTTAGCGTGGGCCAGGCGAGGAAGGAACCCGATTCCTATTGCCTGCAGCACCGCGTCATTGGGGGTCAATGAAACTCCGTTGGAAGAAGCGGAAGTGAAGTTGAAGGAATTCAAATATGAATTTACGGATGAATGGTATCCTGAGTGGAGGAGGAACCCGGGTGAAGGACGGAGTTCGAATCATATCATCGAGTATCGATGGAATCGTGTCTTTGAGTCACTTAAAATTCCTTTTAAGCCGGAAAAAGTTAAATATTGATTCATGAAAGGGAGTTTTGAAGTTACTTGTAGAGTTTGAGCGTTCGTACATTTTGAATCTTCTTGCTAATATGATACCATATTCTTCACATGACAAGGCTACACAAACAATAATAGGCTAGCGTTGACTTTCCAAACGGTTTAGAACCTACGAGATAATCATAGTACCAAAGCTTTTGGCGAACCTTTCCAGATGTCGCAAGGTTCATGTGCTTGCAAGATGTAGCCCCGTATGCTGTATTAGTATCACATAGTGATATTGGAGTGCTTTGCCAATAAGAAGTGGGTTCTAAAGGAAGAAAGGAGCAATCTACTTCCTCTAGTATACCGCGGACTATAATGACATTGTGGTTCAGCTCGCGTTGTTTTAGAGCTTTTGTGCCTGGGGGTGGAAATGAGGATTGGAATGCAGACACAAAGGGGAAACCCCTGCGATCTCTCCTTTCTTTGTAGGCTCTACATGGCCCCGATTTATGTTATACAATCACTCACACTCTCATACATCCACACTCTCATACATCACTATATGAGCTAACGAATAACCTACCATGTAGCCATGTGATTTAGCCTGATATAGAAACATTACTTCTTCGCCATGCATGAACTTTCCGTAAAATGATTTTATCGCTAGGCTCTAAAACAATGAACAGATGATGTGTGTGTGTGTGAGTGAGTGAGTGAGTGAGTGAGTGAGAGAGAGAGAGAGAGAGAGAGAGAGAGAGAGAGAGAGAGAGAGAGAGAGAGAGAGAGAGAGAGGCAAAGGGATTCACTAAAGTAAGACAGACTCTAACGTAACTTGCGCAACACACATCAGAATAAGTCATTTAAGGGTTCATTACGTCTGTGGCTACTTGAGCATCAGTGCAGGATTTTCAATGGTTCAGACTGCGGTCTAAAGAAGAAGAATTTCGATTTCTAAATCTATCCTCGATAGTATGAGATGCCTTTATCCTGAATCCTTGTCCCTTATTTAGAAAATGACTTCGTGACGATCCTGTTCTAGCTGGCGGTACATCTTCAAGTCAACTGCTGGATTGCAATCTCACGACGACAAGTTTAGGCTCTCCAACTTTCTATTGACGCTCATTTGGACAGTCAAAAGCAAATCTCCATATTCAACCTTTCCAAGTGACCCAACAGGAATGTGATAGCTCACAAAACTAGATCAATAGTGACATGAGTGAAGGAGAAGAATGAGAAGCAAAGAAACATGGAATGCATGCACCAGCCCTAAACCCTCATTTACGCATCTCCATTGCACACAGTGCTCCACCAAGAGAGTGCATGGATATTAGCCGAGTTATCGATGACAACTACTCTCAGGCCCCTTTTCGTTTGTAGAAATGCATTCAGATTGACCACGAGATAGAGTACAGAGTCGATGATGAATTGCTTTTGCTTCCGATAGCGTACTGAGCTAGTCAAATGGGATTTCGTTACGAAAACATGCTCGTAGAAGGTAGCCCGTGTCTTTCTGGTTAAAGTTCTGCAGCCGAGGGAGGGTAAGCCGTAGGCGGATTGCAATCTTGTCTTCTTGTTCTTGATGTAGCTGCAAAGCTATTGAAACCGATCAACGAGCAAGAAGAATCTTATGTCTTGGTATCACGGCACTGTGATTTTGGCGGAAGATAGAGAAGAGCCTTGACATGGTTGTCTAGAGGGAAGAGGAACATTGTGTCAATGAAGCAAGACCTTCGCGCCCGTATAGTGAGACGAGCCACCTAGAGAATGGTCAATGGAATTGAGGTGTCATATCACGATATTGCATGTGATACGGAAAGAGCTGGAGGGCGATTGCAATAAATAATCAGAGACATCATTAGTCCATAACAGGCTCACAACGGCTTTAAGATGAAAGAGTGATGTGATTTCATATTGCTTTGAAAGAATGAATCTAGAAGAGGTCAATTTCGATTTACAAATGGAAATGATGTAGTTTGCTTTAAATTATTAATAATCTAGCTTTTGTTGTTAACTTTTTATCGGGTTTTTGGGTCGTGAATGAGCTGAATGATTAGAGATTCGAAAGATTGAAAGTGCGCTCACATCAGTCAAGGTTCCCTTTCGAAAAATGTGAAATTTGGTGAGGATATCTCTAAATGGAGTGCGCTTTAATAATTTCTATTTTGTCTGACAACAGAAGAAGGCTATTGATTCTTTTCCTTCCAAACCCAAAACGCCAGTATATGCAACAAGTATCATTTCCGAGAAAGAACTCATACACCTATCACGAACCCTGTAAAATTACTACACTACTTGGATTTGCTTCCCTTCTTCTTCTTCTCCTTGCTCTCCTTCTTCGTGGTATCCGTCTTCAAAGTCTCATCTTTCTTGGCCTCTTCCTTCTTGGCCTCTTCTTTCTTGACCTTCTCCTTAGTTTCCTTCTTGGGCGTACCAGCCTTGGCTGTCTCGTCCTCCTTGGTCTTCTCTACTTTGGTGTCTGACTTTGCCTTGTCTGCTTTGGGATCGATACCCTTTCGTTTCAAGGTGTTCTTTCTCGCCTTCACCATATACTCTTCATCTTCACCATCATCCCATCCTCCAAATGCATCCTCCTCCTCAGTTTCTCTAATAGGTGTCTTGTCAATATCCAACTCATCCAATTCCCTCGCAGCATCCTTCTCGCCAGGCTTGGTCTTGGGAGATGGACCTGTCTTCTTGAATTTAGAGACGAAGAAACCATCAACGTTATAAGCATGGGGGTAATATCTTCTTGTCATCTTCATGTTCTTGTCAAAGCTTTTGCCCATGTATGAAGTGAATCCCTCCTTACCAAAAGTTAGGCCAGTCTCCACGAGCTTAACATTTGGTCTCTTGTTGAGCACGTATTGAACGACTTGCTCGTTCTCCTCAACGGTGACACTACATGTCGAATAAACGATATAACCTCCGGTCTTGCTTGCATGGTCAACCGAGTCGATAGCTGAGAGAAGTAGCTGCTTTTGTAAATGAGGAAGCATAAGGAAATCTCGTTCTGTTTTGTTCGTCTTCACACTAGCATCCTTGGCGATAACTCCAGTACCGGAACATGGTGCATCAAGTAAGACACGATCGAAACCTCCAATAACTCTGGGGAACTCTCTGGCGTCGTAATTGCAGACGATCACATTTTTGGCTCCTAGACGATGGATGTTACCGATCAAACCTTTAGCACGAGATTTGTTGCTATCGTTGGCGAAGATGCAACCTGTGTTCTTCATCAAGGCGGCAATGTGTGTTGTTTTTCCACCAGGAGCAGAGGCCATATCGAGGACACGCTCATTTTCTTGTGGCGCGAGAGCCATCACGGGAAGAAAAGAAGAAGCGGCTTGTAGAATGTAATGTCCGGCAAGGTACTCTGGAGTGGCACCCAAGGGTACAGCGCTCTCGAAAATTTGCAGACCAACTTTGGACCATTTTCCTACTGGCTCCAAGACTACTCCACGGTTGATCAATGCCTGTGCAAGGTCTCTTCGATGTGTTCGCAAGGTGTTTGTTCGGATAACGACAGGTCTGGGGGTTTCGTTGGCCTCGAAGAATGCAAAAGCCTCCTTAGGCGGGAATAAGTTGAAGAGCTTTTCGGCTAAGAATTCCGAGTAACCATAGTATGCGCAAATATCCTTGATCAATTGAGCTGTGTATTCGGCTCTGGATCTACCCTCTTCAGAGAGATTCGAGAAGTCATCCAAGACTCTGATAGTGTCGTTGATTCGAGATCGTAGAAGCTGTAGATCGGGTGCCAATAATGCATTAGTCTTGGGCGCCTCTCCGTCTTCGTCGTCGCTGTCGAATATATGAGGTCTATCTCCTGCAATGTTTGTTTGCATAGCAGCTTCCTCCAATTCAGCCTGAGCCTCTGCGGCCTCCTCAGCTTTTTGCTCATCCAATTTCCTTGAAAGTCCAGCGATATTGGCAGCAGTGAGTTTTTCCTCGGCATCAGACTCGTCCTCATCCTCAGAGAACATTGCTTTTGGGTGATCATCATCCGAATCATAGACATCACTTCCACTGTCCGAGCCAAGGAAATCATCTGGAAGACCAGGACCATCATCATCTGAAACATCCAATTCGTCAAATTCGTCATTCATGAGATCCGCCGCATCGGAGTCGACATCCTCCATCTCTTCATCTGACATGGGCAATGGTGCAGCCTTCTTCGACTTTTTCGCAGAAGGTTTCTGAACCGGTAACGAGTTTGTAAATTTTCCTTTTGATGCGTTCTGTGCCGCCGAGTTCTTCTTGCCATTGGCAGCTCCATTGGACTTTTTCTCCGAAGTTCGACGTTTCTTATTAGGATCGGGAGCATATTGCATCGATTCTGCTCTGGATTCTGCTACTGACATTCCAGCTTTTCTTTTTAAATTGGTGAAATGTGCTTCATCGAGCGGTTCGGGCATGCCCTGCTTCTTCATACGTCTTCCGACACCCATTTTGAATGATTTATTTGGATGTTCGTACTAGAAATTTAAAAGTTGAATGTCAAGATTCGCAAATGCAGCAAATGCGATTTGAGGGAACTTTTTTTCTAGACGAATATAATTTTCTCGCAGATAAGGTTTAGCGCACTTGACTTATCAAGCTCGGTCGCCGCTATTCCGATGCCAAGACTTTTATCTTGTGCTATGGTCAGGTCACACACATGATGGAGTGGTAATTGTGAATTTGATTGTCTGTAGCTTGTTTTGCCCGCAGTTGAACTGGTGAACTTCGAAGTATTATACACGTTTTTACCCAACTTCTTTAAGTATTCTTCATCATGACTGAACTCACATTTGCCAAGTCCTTCATTCAGACTCTCGAGTCGCGGTCTCCCAAAATCACTGCCGATCATGTTGAAGATCCAAGAAATTATCCCTCAAGAGGGGCAGTACGTCTCCCTTGCGCTCTTACTTTGTGTACCTCGTTTTGCGTCACTCACGTCTCCCTACCTTCTCTCCCCCCTTTACTTCGAGTTATTGCTCCCCATACTAACCAGGATGATAGGCTATTCTTCCAAAGATGAAAAAACCCCCCGCGAAACGTCAAAAGTTGACTCCTGGACAAGAACGTAGCATCTCGGTATCTTTGAAGTCATCGCGAAACCCACCTCTCGACGTAACACTTTCTGCACTGTCGCCAAACACTTCCATTCTTAATTTAAAAGAGTCGTTATCCGAGAAAGAAGGGATTCCCGTGGAGAAATTAAGGGTACTTTACAACAAGAAACCGGTCGGAGATGCGAAAGTTTTGAAAGATGTTATTGGCGAAGAAGAAACCAAAGTCGAATTTAGTATCATGGTAATGGGTGGAGCTGCTTCCGTGAGAAAAGCTGAGACGCCCGGAAATGAAGTAGAGGCACCAGTCGCACAAGGGCCTAGTGGACTGGAAACTCTTGCTGGTGAAGAGTTCTGGGGAGATTTGAAGGGCTTTTTGGTGCAGCGATTGAGGGACGAAGAACAGGGAAACAAATTGTATGAAGTATTCAAGAAAGCCTGGGAAAGTAGCGCGGTTTGAGGTACATAATTCACGGGAGAACAAAGCAAGGAGTTTGTCAATGTACAATTGAAAAGACACAGGCAAGTTTGCCAATTCAGAAACAAGTACTTCCGCAAAAGTCGCTTTTAATGTCTTCATATATCATCACGCTGAAATGATCAATCCGTCTTCAGAAGAATAAATTCACACCCATGCATATCATCGCAGGCAATAAGCACCCAATGAAACAGCGTTCCTTCCTGTCACGTTCGTTCCCAAAACCATAAGGCTTGTATCTATGCCTTGAGAGCGGCTGTACCCTTGCTGACTGTCTTCAACATTTCATTCTCCTCGAGGTCGGCTTCGTCATTTGCTTGAAGTTCATCGCCCGAAAGTCCGGATAAGGCACGCTTGAAAGATTCCTTGGTGGAGGCGTACATCATTTTTGGCTAAAAATTAATTAGTACTAGAAGGTGATACTAGAAGATGGGACTTACGAAGGTAGTAGCATCATCAGGGGACCACGAAATGAAAGTAAGCTTGGTTCTAGTAGCATATTAGCCTCCAATCCACACAGCCAAATGGAAGTAAAATCACCTTTGTCCCTCTCCGTTGGCCAAATCGTAGTTGAAGTCGTAGACAGCGTATCTGGGACCTTTACCCTGGGTTTTCTATAATGTTTATCAGCGCTTGGTCCGTAATAATAATCTTTTAAACATACGTTCTTGTTGAGTGCCTTTGCATTTACGAGGACCTCACGGAATGGTTCCCAGTCTGCCGACTCGCTGGAAGTGTCGACAACAACCTTTGTGCCTTCATCGTTGATCTTGTAAACGATCCACTTGATCTTCTTTTGAAGCTTCATCTCGTTGAACTTCTCGATGCATTCATCGTCGACGGTGATACTGTAGACTTGTCAACTAATGCTCTACGGCCCTGCTCAAATTGTTGGTAGGAACAGATTCGCATCAAGCTCGGTTGTCACCGCAAGTCACTGATGGTAGTCGGTTGAGTAGTGGGGTGAACTGACCCTGAGTTAGACTATCAAAGCGAAATCATTAGCAAACGGTGGTGTGGCAGTTGGTAGAATAGAAGCTACATACCATGATGTCAAGAAAGTCTATGCGACGATTTGTGTTGGTAGAAACTGTCAAATCAACAGAAAGTCAGCAAATGCCTAATACTTAACAAGTAGACAGATAAACAAATCGAATGACTTTGAGACCAGACCAAGCTGTCGAATGAAAAACGTACGTTAAAGATTGTTCAGAGACCTGCTTTCCAAAGTCCGCTGTATGTTGTGGTAATTGCGAGGTAGTAGGAGGAGCGAGAGAAAAGCTTGGGAGATGTTTATCTTTGGGAGAGTTTTGGATTTTGCGAACGGGGATGAAGGTCAAGAACTTGGTGGGGTTACTTGCCGGTGTGCGATCACCTGAGTGGGACGCTAAAAATACCTTGTCGTGCTTTCACACTCAATCTGGATGGATGAAAGCTGGCAACTTTGAGAGAATTTTACCCCTTTCAAGATATAAAAAATGAAGATGGCCTCTGCTGGGTAATGCAGACAGGAATCAAGTCAAAAATGCGAATGAATGATATGTTTCTGGTTATGATAAATCGTCAACGATGAGGTACGGAGTAGATGTCTGTGGGTGGAGAAGCTTCCCCTACAGTTGTACACTCTTTGAACCTTTTATCGGTAATCTTTGGGGCAACAAAGATATGCATATAGGGAGCTCTTACTAGCTAGATGTGTAAAAGTCAAAATTGAAGATCTGGAGTTGTGATTCTTTGAGTACCAGGTAGTAATATAAGAATTTCAATGGCTGCCTGGGTAGAAGTCAAAGAAATACATTTGAAGCTGTATGCTCCTGATTGTATTTAGATAGGTAGTTACATTTATCATCTATGGTGAACTTAAATAACTAGGTACCTAGGTAGATGGGCAAACTGAATTCGCTTATCATGTAGATATGCATAGGAAGTAGGCAGAAGAATAATCTATGCTATCCATGGATTTCCAAGAAGCTGTTGGTAGATACCTCTGTGGATGTCATCAAACGGTGTGCATCATTATGAAGGCTACCCACCTAGTTGACGCCATCTTACTATCTTTCCTGGTCTGATCACAAGGCAGATATATTCCAAGAAGATTGACACGCAAACGAACACATCACCGGTCTTGTATAATCGAGTCAGCCACACTGTGTAGCCACTGAAATGGATTTGAAATTTTTCATATTTTATTTTAGTTTCATTAATTTACATGGTCATAATCTCTTAAACACATCATATCGCTCCGTGATGCCATGCAAGACGAGGAACGAAAAAGGGTGAGTGGGGTGTTATACAATGTTTTGTCCGGTACCAAATTGTCTGGTAATCAAATCGCACAGACAAATGAGGCTCAGACGGGTATTTTATTTTATTGACCAATAACTTTTTACATCATTCCTGTCATATTGTTAGCGTAATGTTCATCACAGCGAGTGAGAGAATGTACTAACCTCCCATACCGCCCATTCCTCCCATGCCTCCCATACCGCCAGCTGGTGGTCCCTTCTCTTCTGGTGCCTCGACAATAGCAACTTCAGTAGTACCTAATAATGAGGCAACACCGCTGGCATCAACCAAACCAGTACGGACAACCTTGAATGGATCGACAATACCAGCAGCAATCATGTCAACGTACTCTCCAGTTGCGCTGTTGAATCCCTTGTTGAAGTCGGATCCAAACTCATCCATGAGCTTACCAACGACAACTGATCCTTCAGTACCAGCGTTCTCAACGATGGTGCGCGCTGGCTTAGTGATAGCGCTCTTGATAATGTTGATACCAAGTTGTTGGTCGAAGTTGGCAGGCTTAAGACCTCCAAGAGCTTGGCCAGCAGCCTTGAGGAGAGCAGTTCCACCACCTGGAAGGATACCTTCCTCAACAGCAGCACGAGTAGCGTTGAGAGCATCAACGAATCGATCCTTTTTCTCACCAACCTCGACCTCGGATGCGCCACCGACCTTGATGACAGCTACACCACCGGAAAGCTTAGCAAGACGTTCTTGAAGCTTCTCCTTCTCATAATCGGAGGTGGTAGGGTCGTTCATGACACCTCGGATTTGCTCGCATCGCTGAGCAATGGCATCCTTGCTACCCTCACCGTTCAAGATGATAGTATCCTCCTTGGTGATGGTGATAGATCCAGTAGTACCGAGCATGTCTGCGGTAGCCTTCTCGAGCTTGAGATCAAGCTCGTCAGTGAAGACGGTAGCATTGGTCAGGATACCGAGATCGCCGAGGATAGACTTTCGGTTATCACCGAAACCGGGGGCCTTGACAGCGGCAACTTGGAGTTGACCACGGAGCTTGTTGAGAATGCATACAGCGAGAGCTTCTCCATCGATATCTTCAGCAATGATGACCAAAGGACGGCGAAGTTGAGTAGATGCCTCAAGTGCTGGGATAATATCTTGGACGTTTGAGATCTTCTTCTCAGAAAGGAGGATCAATGGCTTCTCGAATTCGACCTTTTGCGACTTGGTATCGGTGATGAAGTATGGGGAGACATAACCGCGGTCAAATCTCATTCCCTCGGTAATGTCGAGTTCATCCTCCATGGTCTTTCCCTCCTTGACTGTGATGACACCTTCCTTTCCAACCTTCTCCATAGCGTTGGCAATCAACTTTCCGATGTGGGTATCACCGTTTGCACTGATAGTCGCAACTTGTGCGATTTCCTCGCTGGTTGTGATATCACGCTTGTTCTTTTGCAAAAACTCAACAACGGCCTCCACGGCGGCTTGGGTTCCTCTGCGCAAGTCCATTGGGTTGCATCCTGCGGCGACGTTCTTTACGGTCTCGGAGAAGATAGATTTAGCAAGGACAGTAGCAGTTGTGGTTCCATCACCAGCGGTCTCGTTGGTTTTCGAGGCAACATCTTGGATGAGTCTAGCACCGAGGTTCTCGAACTTGTCCTTGAGGGAAATAGCTCTGGCAACAGTTACACCATCTATTCACCAACGATTAGAATTTTACAACTAGGTAACCGAGGAGTTCGCAAACCTTTAGTGATCTTTGGGGAGCCATATGCTGACTCAATAAGAACATTTCGGCCTTTGGGACCTAAGGTTGTGGCAACAGCTTTCGCCAAAGTCTCAACACCAGCAAGAAGAGCTGCTCTGCCCTCAACACCGAATTTGAGCTCCTAAATCAAAAACTTGATTAGTTTACAATCACCCGATATGTATGTCATATCTCAGGGCGACATGAACTGAAGTTAACCCAAACATACCTTGTGAGCGAATCTCAATTGTTGTAAAGGACGAAGCTTTGAAGCTGTCGATCCGTTAAGAATCGAAGCTCTTGCTCTAGAACTCAAAGCGCGTTGCATCTTGAATCAATTGAATGAAAGACGCTTATGAAATATGACAAATTAAAAATTGGATATTTAAAAGCTCTCAAAGTTTACAGAGAAGAGGCCTTTTTGTTGTTCAAAGTAAATAGAAAGAATGGAGACTTTGAGATCTTGGAGATAATTTTTCTGGGCCCCATGTTCGGCAGAACCTTTCTCCATCGAATCTGCGAGAAACATTTGAGCTGGGTGAACGGAAGTTCCCGAATGGAGGGGCCGAGCTGCCGGACCACCAGACATATTTTACTTGATGACTAATGAATTTGACTTTCATATTCAAACCTCACTTCAAACTTCACTCGTACCACACTTCACTTTACCGTTAATGCAGTGGCCACCTCAACCCTCAACCTTCATTCATCGGATGACTGCTGATGTAAACGATTATTTATATGTTTGTATATCATTTTACCCAAGTTATGAGGGAGGATCTACTTTGGAGAAGGATGATTAGTACCAACGTGTAGGCATGTATAGATGATGTATAGTGCCTGTTACCTCTCAGATTTCATGCAAACAAGGACAATGAAACCTATGAGTGTGCATAGGTATGTAAAATGCATACTCTTATTGGTGTTTATGATGCTTTGATTTGTGCCGATACTGATGTCAAGATCTCTGAGTTTCTTGGACGCACATGAATGTCTCTGAGCCCCTCTTCGGTCATATGCCCCCCTTGTGTCTTCGAAAGATTCGAACTATCGCGACTTTGATGACCATATATCGAACCTGAGTCTTTTATTTGCATTTTGACTTTGAACTCAGGAGAAAGTATTGAAAAGAAGTAGCGATTCGGTGTACGAAAACAGTAGCGAGTGTTACCTGTCCTGACGTACCGCTCTGGCGTGAGGGTTCAGCAGTCACTTGAATCATGATGTACCTAGATGAACCTCATATTCAAATATTATGAGTAACTCAATCCTTGAGAAATTCATTAAAGTCAATCAAGGCTTTTGCTGCTCGTACTCATGTGTGTTGCTAGTTTGCTTCATCAGTGCGTAAGAAGAAACGTACACACATCTTGATCTCCATCATAGCACAATGGAAGTAATCAATAGAAGTTCTTAGCCCGCATGTATTCGTATCACTCTTATTTAGATATCAAGAGTTATGGACAAGGAGTTATGGGCAAGGGAGAGAAGTAATGTTATTGTTTGATTGCGACCTGTACAGGGACACAGAGCCGATACTTTCCAATCTCTACTCTTCAACGTTAGGCGATTCAAATTTAGAGTGGTCAAAGTAAAAGGTTCTCTTCATTGAGCAAAAGAAGATGGATTCACAGCATGTTTGTGCATCGATTTCCTAGGTTATCGTCCCAAGCGAGGGGGTAGAAACGGGCCAACCCCGCAGTGGCTTCCTTGATTCACATCAGCCCTCCAATCAACCTAGGCAAGGATTGATTCTATCGTATATTATCGATATTATCTACCTGTATGAAGCAGCACTTCTCACTTTTTCTAGAAAAGCATATCATGTCAAGTGACTGTGTAAGTCTCAACCACTCACATGGAAGCCTGCTTGCTTCTCAACCACTCATTTGAAACTTTGCTTGCATTCTTTCTCATAACCAGGGCCACCTAATATCCAACACGCATCAATGAACAGTCGTCACAAATGGTACCGCCTCAAGCCTATAAAAATATCGATACTTAGAAAATGAAGTGAGGTTGAAACGTCCCTGAAGTGCTAGATTCCTCTGAAAGATGGTGAGAAGGAGGAATCCTCAGGTACTTGTCGTCTGATATGTAGCATGTCTTTGTAGGCTGAGTTTATAGGTGAATACATTTTATAATCAGCTTTGATCATCATGACCTGTCTCAATCTCTAGCTAAATGCCACAAAGACCTGAAGTTCGTTTATTTTTTTTGGATAATCCATAGCCTTACTGTTTACCACCAGAAAAGTCTTCTATCTTCTATATCTGAAATCACAGCTAATTACTTGGTATTCTTATTAAAATTGATATGATCCTTAGTATCCCAAAGCAGGGTAGCTACAAAAAAGAAATAGAACAGTTTGTCATTCGAAATCCCCACCATCCAACATTGACCCCTATGGACACTCACAGTCCAAGTAATTCGAGAAGGTGAAGGAGAAGTCAGAGCAGCACGGACCTCGCCTATTCATTTAACAACCTTATCTAGGTAGGCATGTGATTCACCTCCATAATTTTCTACCTAATAGCTTGCCATTTTTTCTTCTTTTTGTTGATTGCTGCCTGCAACTCGAACAACTCTTTTAAATCTCCACCAGGAACAAATATGAAGATACAACCTTTCCAAGCAAAAATTGTGTCCTGGAACTGACAAACCAACAAACATAACATACATTCCTTCTAAATGGTCAGTAAACTCTTAACACTGCATCTTTACCGACAACTCATGCTGAAGAATACTGATTCATCACAGAGAAACAGTCTTTCAGCCTCGAAATTCCCACAGACCTTGATTTTCCTTCAACTTTTTTCGACTTCGAACTACCTCACACAGCGACGAGTACTACTACCTTGATCGAGTAAAGGGAGAACAACCACCTGTATCTTCTTGATTGAGGATGCCACCGTGTTCGGAAAACTTATGGCATGGCCAGAATTTTCCAAGCTCACTCACTGTTCAACTCAAGTGGAGACTGCTCACCACAATAATCTGAGCCACAAGTCTCGTACGACTGTTGGAATTCATTCTTCTATTTCCGGCTACGAAGAACCAACATTGACTAGCTGCAGGAACCTTAAGACGGAACGTTGCACAAGCGTTGAGTCACAGCTCTGGGACAAGAAAATTGAATCTTGATCACCTACAGGAATACTAAGACTGAAGGCTGTACGAGCGTTGAGTCATAGTCCTGGGAGACGAATCCATACCATCACTTGACAGTCCTCATTCATAGCTCATCTATAATTCGGGAAAGGATAACGCGTCTGCATAAGCCCTCACCATATAGTTGTTGAGCAAACCCTTCCTTCTCTTGTTCGAAAGAATGAGAACGGCGTGTAGCAGTATGCCACGAACGACTTCTTGGAGCGAATTAGCTTGGCTATCTATCATAACATCAAAGAGGAAGGTTGTCCGAGCTTCTGAGTGGCAGCTTAGTGAGCGAACCTCCAACATCACTTGACAGTTTCACATCGCGGCTCATCTATACATATTGGGTAGAGGATTACACCACTGCATAAGTTCATCATGTGGCGGTTTTGCGGACTCTCCTCTCTCGGCAGTCAAATTCAAGATGAAAACATGCAGCAGCATTCATCGGAACTTTATCGACAACCTCCTGGGGCAACTTCACCCAGCATAATTGACGTATTGACGTCGCAGAACAGTGCCTCTCCTACCCGTGGCATTGTTCTACAGAGCGCAGTTGATCTCTTCTAAGTGGAAGACATACTAAGTCGCAGGGTGTTACATCACATACAAAGTCGGACCACGCCATGAGAGGCACACTACTGCCTGATTCAATTCAATAATGTTAGCACAAGAACTCACACGAACTTTCACAAGGCAAAACGAATGTCATAGAAGATTGTTATTGGAAGCATCTATCTATGATACAAGGTCTTGTGTCCCCCGCTTTTTCCACTGCTGAACGAATGACGATGAGTAATTCCATTTGATGCGACCGGCAAACAACTTACGAAAACTCCTGTTCACCAAGAGAAGTCCCGGAAACAAGAGAGAAATCGCTGTCGAGTGAGGAAGCAAATAGGAAAGATCGCTCGTGCGGATACAGCAGTTTCGACAAGCAAAGCAAATTAACGACCAAATGTTTTTGTCTATGAAACCGTTTGCGCCCTCCGCCAAGCCCAAAGACTTCCTAAATATGATAACCAGGGTTTACAAAGAGCGAAGATGAAATATTGCGAAAGAATTTTTGACAGCCAGGGTTTCATAACAACTCGGGAGCATCCAAACGCCAACAGACAGCGAATAGAAGCTAAATTTGCGGTGAAAGAAGTATGATCCAACTGGTCCAAAATCAATCGTTAATACAAAGAATGAAAATGAGAAGAGAAATAATTGCAAGATCAAAATTGCTTCGAAAGTTACTGGAACCATTTGGCGGATATGATTTGACATGGAAGCATCGTCAATATCTGTTGTGCCAAGGTTGTTCATCTTCGAAGGCAAACAACGGACTCAAAGGTTGTTGTCATCGGGGTTGAAAGGTTGGTTGGAATTGTAATCTTGAACAAAACCATCATGGAAAGATTCGAAGCCCTGTCCAGGAATTTCACTGGGGTCGACGAAATCGTAGCCAGATCCGTCATAGGCGTGGCCGGCAGAGTCAGTAAAGTTACCGAATCCCTCGGTGTCGTTCGAGCTGACCAAGCTCAAGCCATGATTCATGGCAGGCGCTAAGCCAGAGGGCTCAAATCCGAAGAATTGCTGGTTGGAGTATTGGTAGCTACCATGTGTATTCTGATACAGTCCCGTCTCAGCATTCATGAAATTCTGATTGCTATAAGTTTGGCCGTAAACTGGATTATATACTTGAGCAGTCGATGCGCCTTGTGGGTTGTAAGTGCCGGATCCAGGGTTTATGCCTCCATTGTAGCCGTAAGGAGTGTAAACAAGCTGATTTTGAAGCCCAGCATTATCATTGTTGAGATGCAAACCTCCATGACCAAAAACATCATCAAAATCGTGAGCATGAGCATCGACAATCGTCTCTGCGTCATCATCAACATCGCCATATCTGCCAGTGTACTCGGCCTCATCGACTGCAACTTCCTCCTCAGCCAAGTTCATGGAAGCGCCTGCAGCGAATTTCTTTAGCTTATCAGGTGAAATCTTGAGCTTGAGTGGCAAACTGGCTAAAGGTGTCATTGCATGATTTCCGGCAACCTTCTTGCAGGGTGTCTCTTCAAGGAAGTCATCATCTTCAGAGTATTCAAATGATTCACCCTCGGAATCGCTGGTCTCATCTAAATCATATTTACGCTCGGTCTTGACCTTGACCTTACGCTTGCGATGACCCTTGATCTTAAGACGGTTTCCGGGGTCGTAATCCTCATCTGATGGCATTTCTGCCGGGTCGATGGATTCGGATCGTTCCTTCTTGACCGCGACAGACTTCTCTTTTTGTTCGGTCTTTGCTTTTGATGCTCGCTTGTCAGGATAAGATCGGGTGGAGAAAGTCTTGGTAGGTGTTTCCTCAACAATAGTTGCCTTGTTGTTTTGCCATCGAGCCTTATCGCGACGATAGGTTCCTGATCCTCTGGTGATACCAGGAGTAACTAGACTCTCCTTCAAGTCTTCGATCTCTTCGTCCCAAGTAACTTCACGAGTTGCTTTTGGGTCTTCAGAATTCATATCGCGAATGTATCCACGAACATTTGAATCAACAGTGTTCTTCTTTGCAAAAGGAGGAGGAACAAGGTGACCTTCGGGGATAAGAACTTCACGCAGCTTATTGATATACTGTACGGTAGCTGCACCAGAACTTCCAGGGTGTATTCTGTGAGCGATATCGTCCCACGGAAGGGTTATTCCTTGACGGCGACATTCATAATTGATCCATTGAAGCAATTTATCCGCCATTCTTGGTCCTATAGCTTTGATTAGTCCTTGTTCTCGAGGTTGATGTGAAAAATGGAATCTTACTGTGCCAAGGTACAAGCTTGCGTCCTTCGACGCGACCATTTGGATGGGTTGGTTTTCCAGCAGAGCCAATTACCTTACGAGCTTTGCCCCAAGTGTTTCTGGGGGACTTGACTCCATCTTTCCTGTCTTTCCAGCCATTGTCATCTTCCTCGGAAGACTCGCCGCGTAGTACGCTTTTCAAGATCGCGTGGCTTTCCTTGATCTTTCTATTCTCTACAAAAGGTTAGAATTCAATGGCTTCCATTCTAGCGAAGGATGTGTATCGATGACAAAAATATTGTATTCTTCGAGCGACTCACCTGAAGATGGATTGATATCAGTGATATTGTTAGGTGCGCGCTTATTACTAGCAGCTTTTCTTGGAGATAGAGGCCCGACACACTTTCTTCCATTACCACGAACAGCTTTAGCTGATGAATTGGATGGCGTGACGGGGTCATAGCTGTCATCTATCTCGTCATCTATCTCGATCGAGGCGAATAGATCTTTGGTGTTTATTTTAGCTTGGGAGTTAGAGAGAACGCTAGACTTGACAGGTGTAGCAACAGAACCACGACGGGGAGATTCTTGCTTCTCGATGTTGTTGAGGTTTTGATCACGGCCAAGTCCCTCGACTGCATCGGCATCTCCATCAGTTGAAGGCATGGTTGTTTAGAATTAACTGTCCATGCGTTGTGTGGTTGTCTTGTCGTTGTTGGAAGAAGAGAATTAGAATTATCTAGAGCGAAGAAATACTTGTTAGCCTTTGTTGCTTGATTGAGCACCTTGTCAAACCTCTAGCAGATGTGAGGTAGCGATTCCGAAAGCGGACTTGAGGAGCGGGGAATCTTAGATTGAGAGAAGAAAATGGAGTGAATTTGGAGTGGAAAATGGTAAGCGCGAAGATTGCGAACAGCATGAGATTGGGGAAAGATAAGAATTGGACAAGTCTACCAAAGGGGAAATGGTGTATAAGTCTGAATCCAGATTCAATATTTCCCAGAATTGTGGGTGTGTTTCCCACTGTTCTGAGGGTTTCAGTTGTGGCATTGGTCAAATATGACGCCAAGTAAGAAGGTCCTTCGGGACCAGAAGCCTGATGGTAGTTCTTGCAAACACAATACATGAATGCATACTAGTGTGCAGAAAGACTTAAGTGCTTTCAATCTTATTGATCTTGTTGGGCTGCAGATCGCCGCAAAACCGCCCTAAGACAAGTATTGCTTCGGCGACACCATCATCACGAAGAGGAAGAGTCCTCTGTGAATCGGCAGAGCCTTGATCAGATACACCTCGATTGACTGAGGATATTCTGATTTGAATTCTGTGTTGGGAGAGTGTGACTGCTAGATCGGGAAGGTGGGGTAGGGTAGTGATGGAGAAGTCGCAGCAACACTGCCATTAAGAAGAGGGAAAGAAGTTTAAGTCTTTGAAAACGTACCTTATAGGAGACTTAAGATAATTCGAAATAGAAGAGCAGAGACAGAGGGACTCTATTTGCTCAAGTGATGAGGTAGAAAAAAGAACTGATGATGGATTGTAAAAGATTGAGTTTGGGGTTGGGAGAGAGAAAGATAAAGAGAGAGGGAGAAGAGTCGCAAGCGAGAACCAAGTTTAAAGTATCAACAACTTCAAATTTGTGCCGGTATCCAATCGGGCCGGATAATCTTACATTACCGACCAACCCAATGGAATATTCCGGGTGACGACAAAGAATTGGAGAATTTAGACGATCTGGTACTATAGGAGACACTCTTGAGGCTTGTATGGCTCTCTCCTGGAGTATGCATAAGTCTTCGGCTTGAAGATTACAGTTCAAAGCGCCGTCATAGACTTCGAATTTTATTCCGCTATCGGTTACCATGTGTTTCTCATGGCAATTGCCTTTTCAAAGCACCCAATTCACGTCTCGCTGATCTGAGGTGGCTACATCAAACGCCCACAGAACTCAAGATCAGAAAGAAGTATACGAAAGTCTCTGGTTGTGCTAGCTACCAACTAACTTTTAATATGATTGGCAGAACTTGAATCTCCACTCTAGAATGGAAAAGCGTCAATCTAATCAACAGGGCTCGTTCGTAGGCCACAAGGAACAACAAACCAGCAGAAGTTCTCCGCGAGGGTCCAGCAAGATCTGCAGCAAGATCTGCGGCAACTACTGCGGGAGCAACCCAGAATACACACTTCAACCATATCGCGTTAGCACATTACTCGACTCTAGCTTCTCTATTGCTTTTTGGCAGTTAGTCCACCTCCATTAATCTAGTTCTACTGAAGAGAGCAGTTGCTGAAAAGATCGTTGTCTGTAGGATCTTCCACTTTTCTTTAAGCACGACACCATCTGGCTTAGAGGTTTAGAAGACGTTCCATTAACTCTGACAACTTATACAACACTGTAATTCCACAGAAGTGAGTCCCACTCTGCTTGTACTAGACGCTGGCGTCACGAAGATCCTACTATCTATTGATTGCACCACTGTCGAGTATCTAGATTCTCCAACCCCATAATGTAAATCAATAACAGACGGTTCGGCTGCTACCAAGGTAATCATGAATCCTGCAAAAGCTGCTGCTGAAATGCTCTATCTGAACACTAGTGTCTACAAAGTAACCAGCACAACTACCATACCGGCTGTCGCCTGTAACGACGAGAAACATAGCATGTAATAATAGGAGATACTCGAAATACTTGAAGTATTAGCTAGCTACTCTCAAACGAGGGTCTATACACCCGAGCCACAGCGATTTATCGGCCAGTATGCAGCACGACATCGTGCCAGTAGATACTACCTCCCTACTACACGCATGTTCTCAATCTCCATAAGCCCATTCTGCTAGCCACATTTCTAATTAACGCCGTATGCTGACTGGAAGAAGCTAAGAGTTAAGAAGTAGTCGTCGAGATCATGTAAGCTTGTTGAGTTAGACGAAACGAAAGGACACCTGCATAGTTATACTGTTCACCGCGGCTTTAGACCTCACATGTTGAAGAGGAGAAGGCGACCAGAAAGAAGAGCTCAACATCACACTCCACATGTAATAATCGTACTTGTGCCTACCAGCTTCTATTTGGCGAGGAGAAGATACAGTCATAATGCTTACCGTCATCCTTGAGCTCACCTTGAGAATCTAGAGGCCAGTCTGCTCACAGTAAGAATGCAGATGGAGTAAAATACGATTTAGATGCTCAAGAGTTGATTCATTATTTAGGGAACTGCGTGAATGATAGCTTGAAAATCTTCATTTCCTATCGATCTCGTGTTTCAAGAGCAAAAATATTGATCCCGCCGATTTACCACCATCCGAAGAAACTGCAGATCCTCCCCCAAATTTCCCGATACGTAAGAACTGACCACATATTTCCTTGAAGAATTTCATAGCTGCAGACGCCATAAGCAACGATATTCCCCGGAACGAACATTTCCCCGCCTCCAGCAACCAAACGAAACCCAGAATTCTCTATTCAACCAACAAAGGTCTCTCCGAACCACCTTCGCTTTCATAACCTTGTCCAATAGATCGATACTGCTGCGCACCCATACCCATCCCATTTGATCCTGCAGCATGACTTCTAGATGCCGTCATATTCTGTCCACCGTGACAACCCATACCAGTGCCGCTTCCCATCATACCGTGACCGCTCATCATTCCACCATATCCACCCGTATTGAAACCATACCCACTCTGCGGCTGACCATACGCATTCAAAGCACCAGAGCCCGCACCAGTAGCGCTCATGCCCCCCGAAACCATATCACCTGCATACCCCTCCCCATCACCAAACTCAAACTCGCCCCCCTCTCCACTAACACTCCCTGCCGCACTGCTCCCTCCACTATAATAGTCCACCAACTCTCTATTGACATCACACAATCCAGCTCCCAACCCCATCTGCATTCCCTCTCTCAACTGCGCGCTTGGAGAATCTTCTCGATACATCTCCTCCTTAATCGCATTCCTCGCACTCATCTCGCTCTTCACTTCTCTCTTGACTTTATTTCTGCTCGGGCCCTGCCCAGAAGAAGAGTCCTCCTCATCATCCGCATTCTCATCCTCGTTGGAAAACTTGCGCTTCTTGCCGGTAGACTTGCCGCGCGGTGCGGAGGTGGGAGCGGAGGGGTTCGAGTTGGGGGTGGAGGGGTTCGAGTTGGGGGTGGAGGAGGGACCGGGCGCGGGTTTGATGGATGCAGCGTTGGGTGCGATGCCGTGGGAGCGCATCATGCGTTCGTAGCGTTTTGCGCTGCGAGGTGAGAGGTTAGTTGGGGGTACAGTCTGAAGCGGGAAAGAGGATGGAGAAGGGGGTTGGGGTAGATTGGTGGGTGGAGAGAAGGGAAAACTTACGCGGCGCCTTTGGTGACGATCTTGCATTCTTTAGCTACTTGACCGAAGTCTACCTGTGCGATGTTAGTAGTCGTCTTTGAAAACAGTCAAAGTAAGAGAGTGATGGGAAAGTGAGTAGATAGCAACATGCGGCAGTGGAGGATAAATACCTTTCCATTGTTACTGTATCGAATACAGCTAATAAGGAACTTGAATTGTTCTTCGTTGGAGGCTGGAGCCATGATGAGCAAGCTGTTGTTGTATAGTGTATATCTTAGATGTATGGATGTATTGTTGAGGTCTCTCAACTCGATGGATTGACTATTGAAGACAATGTAATAAGTTAGTCTTCTCCAAAAGTGAATAGAATGTTTGGTGTCTGAGCGGGAAGAAAGACGATTCTGGCGGCAGCGGAAGAAGAGATGGATAAGGTCTTCCGATCCTGCAAGACTGACAGATGGGGATGAGGGAAATGGAGAGAAAACGTCTTTCTTTTTAATGTCTAGACTGTGGTAGAGCGGTTGCTACTTACTGGCTTGTCTGTAATAGTCAAGTCGTAGATCTAGGGCAGGCTGTCGTTGTTGAGAATAATGTGTGTGAAAGAATTGGGTATGTGGTTGTGAGGGGTTGTGTTATCAAAGATTATTTTCGTTGTTCGATTTTGGGTTCGCCAAATAAAGGTGGATTGTGGCATCATCGTACCAACAGTGAATCTGGAAGATTTCTTTTCTCCTAAGATGAGGGGTCTTTCACATAGAGAAAGAGTATTTGTGTGTCACGGGTCATGAGTAGACAATGGATTCTGGGTCATGGGAGATTGCATTGAAGAGCAAACTCTGAGAGTACTATAACTATGGTCATTGACTGCGCACTCATCCTTTCTCCTGGCTTTCCCTATGATATCATATCCTCCCCATCGCATTCATAGAGACCCATAATCTCCCTCATATTACGATCCTGGAGAAGGAGAAAAAACATGCCGTGCTTAAACCAGAACCAATTTGCAAACCAATAAAGTAAAATCCATCTTAATCTTATCCATCGTTTCGACCGAGAGTAGCGAGTTGAATGGGAAAGGGAAAAGAGTCGGATTTACTCGGAATCCTCTGTCGAAGTGTTTAAAATTAGCAAGTGTAGTTGCGCATATAGAATGAGAAATCGCAATGAGTGTGTCTGATAACAATGACCCCGAGTTTGAACAATGCAAAAATCCACAAGAAAGGCCAGCCTAGAGGAAATGTAGAATCTTAGAGCTCAGCCCAGCCTATAGCCCTCATCAGGAACTCTGCAGGAATGTGTAATCATTGAGAGCCTTCCAATGTCGATAAGCATCAACACTTATGTTGGATTGGGCAGCTAGGAGTTGTTCATCGAGATCAACTTGCTCGTCAACAGGACTCTCTTCAACGAAAGTAGAGAATGTCTCTTCGGCTTCGACGACAGACATCTTAGCAACCTCATCTGAAATCTGAAGACTTTCAGAAGATCCAGTAGACGAGCCGACAACGGAGTTCTTTCCAAGACTTTTTGCTTTGAGGGAAGGAATATGTTCTGGTGACTTGCCGTCTTCGTCGTCCAATACTGGCTCTGCTAACTCGTCACCACTATCAACCTCTTCCTCCTTGACTTCCTTCTTGACTGTGCCCTTCTTTCCTCTGGGCTTAGGGGTGGCTTTGATGGGAGCGTTCTTTGGGCCAACCTTCTTCTTTGGAGAAGTTTTCTTGGTGGGAGAGGGGGTCTTGGGAGGGGTAGCACCATCCTCGTCATCTGGAGAAGGTCCGGCTTGATCCTAGTAAGTATCGAGTTAGCAGAGTGTTAATTTGCGCCAAGACAAGATGTCGTATTGAGACAGTGCCATACCTTTAACTTCTCAAACAGCTTCTTAAAACTTTGGCGCGCATTTTTGGCAAACTTGACCTTAACTCGAGCGGCGACACGGTCAAAGTTAATCTATCGATGGGTATTGTAAGTACGTAGTTAATGTTGCATGAAGGACAGTGCGAAGTGAGTACATGGAAGTCAAGAAGAGGATATCAGATGAGTGTCGCTCTATGCCACTACTTGGCATCAGAACTCAAGATATTCACCTGACATGAACGGAAACACAAACGGGTGCAACACCAGAACGACACAAGGCCCAACCCCAAAAGGGTACAGCACAAGGAAAAAGAGAACAAATGGAACTTACATTGCTAGGAATCTCCCCCATCTCAGACATCACAGCTACAAGCATCTCCGTCTCCTTCGCGGACAAAGTCAAAGTTGTCATATTTGCGAGTGCTGATTCTGTCTTCGAGTCAGCTTGAGTTTACTTGAGATTGACGACTGTCACTATCCACCACCCATAGGATCTTGAGATCTCAGATGAAGAAAAACTCACTTTGTAGTAAGGGAAATGATTTCTTTTCGAATTGATGCTTCTTTGAGGAGATATCCTTGGATGCGCAAGCTAAATTGCAAGAATTGCGAAATTGTGGTTGTTGTTGTTGTGAGATCGTGAGGTTGCGTTTGGATGTGGTTTTGGAGGGCAGAGAAGAAGCGAAGCAGTTGAGCAGCAGCACAGCACAGCAAAACTGAACCGAGATAATATAGTAATAATTCCACTAGCAGGCAGAAATAGAAGTAAAAGTGAATTTTCCAGCCATTTCTCACTTCTCTCCGAAGCATACCTACCTACCCAGTAAAATCTTCCCGTTCCCCGAATCTTCCACCCAGGTTTGAGCATGAATTCTGGCTGCTTGATCAGAGGTTCTATCAATTTTTTGGAGTCACATTATGCGTGGAAGATAGATTTCCAGCTTTTAGATATCAGAAATTGACCATTGTGAAGAATGTGACACAAATCCTGCGGGGTTTCCGTTTGGCTGACATTGTTTGCACAGACCTCACATTGCTTTTTTCTCTACCGTAGTATTGGGCATTTACCTGGTCAAGTATTGAATGGCAAAGACAAAAAGTAAGTAATTCATGGATGGTCAAGTAGACATTAAAAGAAGTAATGATTTTATAGAGATCCTAGATGGTGCTTTCCAGAACAACTTGAAGTTGCAATAATCAGCACCTATCTACGAATCGTCCCTTTTCCCAAAGACGAGGAATAGATAATTACTAATATCCATGGCTGATAACAACCTTCCTCCCCGTAATTCCTTGTATTCATCAATAACCCGAATCGCCATGGACATAAAAGAAGAAGAAAATTGTCAGAACTTTAGAGATCCAACGCTGAACAGAACCACCTTTCGGCACCCATAACGAGCTTGGGTAACATATATGCAACCTCACCCAGAAAAGCTACCACCGACAGCCCAGAAGACTTGATGACGAGATATGATTTACTCATCATCTTCTTCCTTGGATTCCTCCTTCACATCCTCCATATCCTCGTCTTTGACATCAGAGAGCTCCTCGTCAGACTCCTCGACTTTCTTGGCAGACTTCTTTGCTGGTACCTTCTTGGCACGAGGCTTGGGAGTAGCCTTAGCCTTGGTAACGCGATTCTTGGAAGGCGTGGTTGGGACAGCAGGCTCGTTGGTGCCATTAGCATCCGATGCTTTTTTTGGGGAGAGGTCGCCTTTGCCGGCCTTGCCACCAGCCACCTCATCAGCAGTGCGTGAAGAGGCACCAAAAGGAAGATCGAACTTCTTCTTGATGGAAGAGACCTTGTTCGAAACCTGAAGCGGAGGATTAGTTGAGAAAATGTTTGATGATCGAAAGCATGACTTACCGAGCGAGGATTTTTGTAGTTCAATAGCTGGGCGACTTTTTGAGTATCGACCTTTAGATGTTTTCCCTAATCAGCTATTGGGAACAGTTTTTGGACGTGGAAAAGCGCATAAGATAAAGTGTGATTTGAAAGTGAAGGGTACGTGAGATGCGGTGCGCGCGACAACTATACATGTACACAGAGCCACCAAGTGAAGATGAGGTGGTGTGGTAAAACGCGAGAACGAATTGCTTGTAATGATTTTGAGAGGAAAAGGTGCAATTGAAAGACAACTGAAGGTGTGATACATGGTCGCGGTGATAAAATGTGGAAGTGAAGTACAAACAGCAGGATGGGAGAGATAGAATTGCGAAAGTATGACTTACCTGGATAGAACCGCCGGTGGTGTTGCGAAGACAACACATGAGGAAATCAACATCAGCCTGGCTCATACCGCCGTTGGCTTGAGCTTGAGAACTGGCAACTTCATTGTCGGACATTTTGATTGTGGTTGATGAGATTGTTTGTGTGGAGGAATGGGATGCGACGAGATGATCTATGTATAAAAGACCAGTCAGCACGACAAAAATGTCGCAAAAAGATGAAAGTAATGATACGTACATGATGAACTTGCAAAGTAATGCAAGGGATTGATGTATTAATCGTCGAAGTTACCGAAAGGTACGAGAATTTGAGTATGCAAGTTGATCGAGACCGAGGAAAATGTTGTGTAAGTGGGATGGAGAATTTGGGTTGAAAAGTGCGATGAGGATGTTCTTATATGTCTCCATGGGAACGATGCTCATTGAAAAATTCACTCATATTTCTCTCGCCTAATTGGATGAAGTGGGAACCATCTTTCACTATTCACTCAATATCATGTTCATTCTGGGAGGTTGGTCATTCTCACATGTTTTTTTTTTCCATTTGTATCAACTCATGCTCATAGAATGAATGAATTCAGCAGTTTTTTTTTGCTTTTAGCATCTGTTGATATGGTTCATGAGCGGGGTAATGTCTCTGCGTGAATGAATATATTGTTTTGGAAAACCTCGAATGCTCTCATTGAGGTACTCGAGACTACTAGCCCTATCGAGTAATTACCATATATGTTAGATCTTGATTCAGTTAGTCAGGTCAAGAGCCGACATCAATCTGCTAGAAGCTTGACGCCCATGAAGGACTGTATCAAGTTGAGTGGAGCTCAACGACGTCTGAGTATGAGAACATGTACTAGCTAGCTCAAAATAAATTCAAAAACTTTGGACTTGATCTTCTAGCATTTTCAGGATGTCTGTTTGCACATGAATGTAAAGTGAATGTACGACCGTCACCATGCATTTTCCAAACGCCACCAACGTCCCTCGAGAAACAACCTTGGAACTCCCAAAGAATATGCAGTGTCGTCTAAAAGAGCTATCAGTGCAGAGGAGATAATGCAGGTATCCATATGCGATTCCCTGCATCATTCGCAGAAAACCTTCGATGGAAAGAACAGTCGGCTCTAGAAACAAGGTGCATGAAGCTTCACACCGGATCCCCGCGGCAAATGGCAGAAGAAACCATAAAAGGTACCTGTGGCTCCCCGGGCCTATGAGTAAAAACATGAAAAGTCATAGATGTTGAGAATCCTAGTACGAAGTTCCTTCACCTTCACCTTGACATGTATTTAGAACTACCTTATGAGGCAATAACTGCGGATAAATCATTTATTTCTATCACATCATTGCAAAGTGCCCCTCTATGAGGTGCAGATTCACCGCTGTAAATATTGACCCAAATGCACATGGAACGTTGAAGCTAGATCATACATTTACTCCTTTTTTTTATCTATTCCGCATTTTTACATCTCTATCCTGATTCTACTGAACGGAAGCTCGAAAAAACGGCTGGAGCGTGATTCAAAAGACCGCCATCGAGCAAATGAAAACAGCCCCATTCAAATTCATATGCTTCCCGACTCTACTGTAACCATGTAAATTCACGTATCTACCATTCTCATATAATGTCGTAGGTTGATGTATCCCCGAGCTATGGAATGAATGTTCATCTGCAAAGGATGGTCAGTTCGCTCCGCAAAGAACAGGTAACACACATCACTTACGAGCTTAAGATACAAACAGATCTCAATTGAAGTTGTGTGACAATCCATCTAAGACCACGGGGGCTGCCTCTTTGATTTCATCGTCGGAGCCTTGATCGCTGACAGTAAGAGTGTTCGTTTCTTCGTCAAACCCATGATATTTGCTCAGGTCGAATTCCTCTTTATTTTGAAACTCGTTCTCGGAGTCGTAGTCATGGCGCTGATTAGCAGTAATGATTAAGTTCGCTGCAGTATCATTGTTCCTGTTAAGAGTGTACCCTTGGCCACGATTTTGTTTGAACTTCGAGGGCTTCTTGGGGTCGATATTTTGGAGATTGCCAACTCTGACCGCTTTTCGTCTGACAAGTCTGTTATAAGCCGGGTCGGTCAGGACTTTTTTCTTGGAATTGAGTACAGGAGGATCGTCATATTCATCTGGAGGAGGCATTCCAGTAATCTTAGGGATAAGCGGCTGTGGTTCTACCTTGTAATTTTTGCGGAATTGAGTCCTCATTTGACCGAAGCGAGAACGGGCCATGTAGGAATTGGAGCATTCAGAGCGCTCAGCAACAAGATTCCAATTTATCTGCACAGGGAACGAAGATGTTAGTAAACCAAATCACATGATCGCTTATTAAAGGGACAATGTCTGTAAAGCAAAGTCAAAGAATGTGAAAAATCGAACAAGATAGGATATATCATAGATCCTTGAGTGTTTAGCATAGAAACAAAGGAAGCTTACATCTGGTGGAGTTTCGATGCAATCAAGAACTATCCAAAGGAACTTGGCATCTTTCGCAGTTGGTTCGCGGGCATCAAAGTTCGTAGCTCTAAAGTATGTTAGTAGGATAGAGATCGAAATGAAGTATACTAACATCTTTATTTGATCAGCAGTCATTGGAGTAATATCTGCCTGCTCCTCTTCATTTTCCTCTTCATCATCTTCCTCCTCGTCATCAGCTTCCTCGCCTTCCTCGCTGTCGTCACTCTCCTCTTCCCCTTCTTCTTTTTCTTCATCTTCATCTTCCTCCTCTTCCAACCCATCTTCTTCGGATTCCTCATCATCTTCGTCTTCCTCACTTCCCTCATCGCTCTCATCTTCCTCGTTGTCCTCAGATTTCTCGGATTCCTCATCTTCCCTTTCCTCTACCTCCTCTATCTCCTCAATTTTCTTGGACTCCTTGTATTTTCTAGGCTACATGAGTCAATCAGCATGAGCCAAATTTCCATTAAAAAAATTGTGTCACTTTTACCATCTCGAAGTCGTGAAATTTTCTGTGTGTGGACTTGTTGAAATGATTATATGGTCGAGCCTTGTATCCGATTTGGTTTTTAGAGGGAGATATTGCAAGTTTCTGACAAGGTAGGAAATGCAAAAAAGCTATGCGTTTCGGTTAGTTCATTTTCAGGTCACGAATAAGCTAGTACCATTTTCCTAATGAGCATGGGCAGATTTGTCGAAAGTGAATAGGAACAACGAGAATGCGCGGCAAACGGGCGAGAAACCTTTGTCTTCCGAAACCCAACACTAGATATCTCAACAGATAATACTAGGTAAACCTCCCCAGAAATTATCTCATACATATATATCGTTTCCAACACAAGTTTCCGGAAGGACCTGGAAGGAAGTCGAAATCGCGGGAAATTCACTAAGGCATTGTTTTCCGCGATTTTATTGGCCGAGAGAACATCCCGTGAAGTAAACAACTACCTAATAATTAGATTGCGAGTTTGTGATTCCTTATCACTCTGGAGAAGTTAGATGAGGCGTAATCATTCTGCGAGAGGAAGCTCACGTGTGCCCTTGTTTGGTAAAACAATGTCATGATGACGGGAAAAGTTCCGTCTTTCTACACGTCTCCCCCTCTTATTTGTGTTTTTTGACAGATCAGAAATGTTAACATTAGAGATTCGTTCCAAGTCAATAACGGCCAATAAGTGAAGAATATGTTTTGTCTAGTTGTAATCCAAAGTAGCGGAAGATACCCTTCCTACTATCATGTGAGCCCCTGAAGATGTTGTTACCCGAATATAACGGTAATGGTGTCCTGTCGAACATCCAACCTTACCAAAATTTCTTTTGTTTGCATGTCCATGTTACCGAATCAGATCGGTGTAACGTGGGGGAAAGCCCATAGTCAATGTCGAATTCTATCAGGAATGAGGGTACCACGTCCAGGGTATCTAAGTATATGGGTTTGCCAGTTAGATGGATGTTTTCAATATTCGAAATGGATCCCATGTTTTATATTATTTCAAAGTTCCTATTGTCAGTTTGTAGTCTATAATATCGAAAACCCTGGTGCTATCACATTTCATCTTTCGGATGTCGTCAATTAGTGTTTCCAAAGGCCCAATTATTGTCTGCATGTCAATATTTCACATAGCGATCTAGCCGCCCATAAATGTGTAGCTTAGCACTAAGCTCACAAAAAAGAAAGCTCCTCAAGGTGAGAAGGCCTTGAAATCTAAGATTTTAGCAATTGACGCACCCTCAAATCTCACCGAGCACGAACAGCATTGTTTCCAGGTGGCTCATGTGCTTTCTTGGTTGCAGATGCAGAATTCCCTTGAGGTGTAGGGTTTTTCGGAAAGCTGCATGTGTTGACTTGTTCTTCCCCCACAAATATTTGCTTCATTCAGGTGTATCCGCTTTCTCGTATTATAAAATCTTGAAATCTACTCCCTGCTCTATTCTGAATTGATAGCAGTCAATAGTGTTTTCTGCAAGAAACCCTTTTCTTAGCAAGTTTTGAGAGGGGAGAAAAGAATTCTCCAATGAGCCTAGAATATCACTTTGGAGCCCGAGACATCAGGATGATGAGGCTCCCACAATAACGAGCGTTTGCAAGTGCATCATAGATCGATTGAAATCGAAATGCCGAAAAGAATAGATAAGGATCTACTTGGTGGCTACTACAGAATATTCTGTTTAGGTAGATATACTTTGAGATATTTTTATCCCCTGTTCTGCTGTCTCTACTATCTCTACTATCATTCGTAATCTTTCTACCTATCAGGATACTCGCCGCTCATCTGCTTGGATACCCATCACCTCACTGCGAATTAAGTCTTCTAAATACAGCGACAATCTTCTACCGTCACGGAAATCATGAGCTCTTGTGTTTACGAGTAAGTACAAATGTAAATGCTTGTTGTCTTTGATCCGCCTTGTCCCAGTATCTTTGATGAATTTTCCATTTCTCATTATTTCAACATCTTGGTTTCGTTGTACATTTCTCCATGCTCTGTGTTACGTATCACAGTATCTTGATACTTACTCACAACCCATCAAGTCTAACAAAATCACCAGACATGCATCTTCAGGGATCGTCATCGTAATCGTGGGTCCAGAGGGCCGACCATTCTTCTTCCATGAGAGTCTTCTCTGCCAAAAATCTCCTTGGTTTCGGTCCCACCTCGAGAACCAAATGACCGAAGATCATAACCATGATTCCGCTGTTGAACTCTCGCCTATCGAATCGTCATTCCGAGACTATCAGCAAATTCAACGAAAAGTAATTTATCGCTACGAAGATGACATCCACACCTTCAACCAATTCTTCAGTTGGATCTACGGATCCATATACCCGCTACCTCGACGTGATCCAGAGAACTATTCTAGCTCGACACATATCTCAGAATGGGTTATCCTCCACCAGCTAGCCGTTGAGATGGGAGTTTTGGACTTGGCCCACAAAGCTTTATCCGAGTATGTTCTTTGCAGAGATACGTCACGAACAGGATATTGGATGCCCCTTCCGGCGGAAATCCAATTTATATATCAAAATCAAGCCACAACATACGATTTGCGCAGTCTTGTCGTGTTTAAAATGCGTTGTATTTATTTTTCAACTGGATTTGCAGAATTACAAAAGGAGCTGTCTGATATTTGCGGTTGTCATTCTGATTTTCATTCTGATGTTTTCGCAGAGCTGCAAAGACATTCGGAACAAATGGCCCAGTGTAGCTATACGGACTGCTCTATTCACAATCCACACAGCACCAACTACTCTCAAACCCCAGATTCTCCCTTAGAAATCGAGTCACCTCCTCTCCCTTCCTCCGAATACCTGGACGATATCTCCACTCTTGATCTAAATAACTCACCACCTTATCTATCCGATTGCGATACGATATCCACAGAAGAAGAGTACGCGAACTCCGAGCAAGCGCGAAGCGAAGCAATTGCTGAATATCATGAGAGCAGGGATACACTGATGTCTTTTGATGGGGGGAGTGAGAGGTCGATTTTGAATTAGCGAGCGGCTGGATGTTGAGTGGTGATATGGAAAATCTTAATCTTATATTGGTATTTTTGTGTAGATGATGATGATGATGGCAGTTGGTGGATAGTCTGTTCATATGTTAAGTTGGGTTAAGGGTGGAACAGCGGAGTTATGAAAATGGAGGCGGTAATTGTAGATACAACCAAATTGGGTTGATTATACATGCAACAGAATGTAGTGGGATATGCATATAACGGTACTACCTGACGGCGGAGGATGCAAATCATAATTGTTTTGGAATGTTTTTCAAAAGTAGAGCGAGGAGTATTTCTAGTATTACAGAACTTAAATTATGGAAATATGTAAGATGTTGGAGCAGAACACAGTGAGCAAAATTTGTGACTGGATGCAAAGCTATCAGATTGCTTATGCGCAATAGAAGAATTCCATTGCATTGCCACTAACCCCTAACCATTTTGTAGACGCGACTCATAAATAGAAAGTATGGACACCCCCAGAAATCCTACCATCAACCAAACCAAGCACAACCTCCCGGTCCTTCGTGTCACACAGACTATGGATATAGGAACTATACACAGTTCAAAGAAGCCAAAGCCCCAATTTACTCCCGCTATCTTCCTCGTCTATCCTCAATCATTCCTAGCTTCTCGAATCCTCTCCATTCTCTCCTCCTCCCCCTCCCCAATCCTCATCCAAACAGCTTCCTGAAACTCTCTCAGCACACTCGAACTCCTCCGCCAATTCTCCACATAACTTTTCGTATCCCCTATATGATCCTCACCCAACACATCCCACAATCTCCCCATCTTCGCCATCGCATCAACCAAAGCCTCTCTAACCCCCGAACCCTCCCTCGTCATCCCATAAATCTCCCCCACCTCCTCCCTCGTCGGAATCCCCGGACAGTACTTCCTCTCCCCCAAACATTTCTCAATCCTAGCCAACGTACTCTCACACGCCGCCTCCATCTCAAAATATGCAGCATACTTATACACTTTACACCAAGCCACCAAACACCCTGTATGTCGCTCAAAATCAGACGTCGGACACCCAAGTTCATTTCCATACATATATCCCACCAGATGGGCTATCGCATCAATGGCGTAAAAGTGTTCCGAATCGATATCAGTATCCTCGCCATCCTTATCTTGGATTTTAAAAGTGATGCTTCGCGCGTGAGAATTCGCGTTCCATGCTCTGGCAAAGAGTCTAGAGGCGTTGATAGCGATGTCTTTGGGGACTTCAAAGACGTGCGAGCGCACCGTGATGTAGATACTCTTAGATTCTTCATTATTCGGATCATGTTCAGCTAACTCGGAGATGCGGCGGGCTTCTGCTGTGGATTCGACTTCGGCCGGTAGATCAGGAGTCATTGTTGGCGGTGGAGTGTTTCTTCGGGGAGAGTGCCTTTTCTCGTCATGCAGGATTTGGGGATTTGAAATAAGCAAACTGTTTGCAGGGATTTTCGATGCGAGTCTTGGTTTTTGGAGATAAGATGAAGACTTGCTGTACTAGCCGCGGAAAGTAGTGTGGTGCTTGAAGGTGAGAGGAAATAAGTTGTCTTGGGTAACGCTTGTCATGATATTTGTGGTAACTCGCGCAAGTGAATGTTTTAGAGCCTGCGAGAAAACTATCGTGCCGATGTTTTGACGAAAGGATCTATGTGGCATAGGATCTCTTTACTAGAGTAGATCATCTGGCAATATGGTAATGTAGCTAAATTTTTGTAGAAGTATCAGGCAATGAACTCTTTGGCACGGGGAGGAAGGGGAGGGTTACCAGTGGTTTCTTTTCTGTGGTTTTATTCTTATTATCATTTCCGATTTCTTTGTAAAAGCTTCTTTAATCAGCTAAACAATTGTATTATAATGTAATATAACATAAATGTTAAGTTAACATCACGCAATGAGCATTTCGATGCCAGGGGAGGGCCACAAGCGCTCTAAAATGACATGTGTAAAGCACACCCGGATTGAGATCAATGATTGAGCCTTGTGGAGAATTGTTTCTATGTCTTGCAAGTATATTTGGATGAAGATAGAGAGAGCTACATCTTTCGACACCCACTAGTTCTACGGCATATAGCAAATGAAGCAAGTAAACATAATAGAAGCTGGCACCGCGACCACAATCATCTCCGCGAGGCTGAAGATATCTCTGACCTCCCGTTTGATATGTATTATCTCAATCCATCTCGTACTTGATATTCCTACTCTGGATCGCACAGGTTGCATTCCATCATCGCAGATCCCATAACCAGATTAAAGACATCAAGTTCTTCCATCTTTTCCTCATCTCCTGGGTGAGAGCAATCCATGAACGGAATCGCACATGATTTGTGTCCTTTGTGTGCCTGACCAGTCTGCATGGTAAACAGAGGTAGTTAGCTAGACATCTCGTCCAAGATAGAAGACTAGCTGAGACTTACAGGGTGTACGTGAAAGTGACAGGGGCAGAGCTTAGATCTATGAAGCATACTAAAACTCTCGTTTGAGTTCCATGGTTCCGCAACTTCCTTTGAACGTCGACCCATCAGATGGAAGTTTCTGGAAACCCATCTAAGCATTCCTTGGAAGTATCCAGGAAGGACAATGCAGTTCGTCATCACTTCTTGCCGAAGCTTAGTGCAACCACGATCTAGATTGGTACAATGTTAGTGGTCGTGCAGATAGATGTAATCCAATGGCAAGAGGATAAAAGTCCGAATACCAGCGGAAAAATTTAGGAAAAATGGATTGTGCTTACCCATATGCATGACCGTACTTGCAATACAAAATTCTCGCAGGGTGGAATCCGACTTCGTCTCTTGCCAAATTTGGGCTGCAAGACCGGGTCCGAAGACAGTTCCAAACTCAAGATAACCATCTTGAATGGCGTCGATGGTTCGATTCATCAAATTATGAATTTCCCATCTTTCGGCAAGTGAGTATAGACTGACCAGAGTTTTAAGGCTTCCATTGAACTCTTCGAGGAGCTCTGACTCAAGACGACCAATTTCTACCAGAGATGGTTGGCTTTTGACGTATATCTTGGTTCGAGGCTTTTGAACGGTGCCTGTTTGTGAAGATGTTTGTAAGTCATATGCACATTAAATGATTTTCAAACAACGCGCTTGCGATAGGCATAGAACATACCGTTGTAAGCCCAATCAACAAAAAGTTTGAAGACCTTGGGATTCTCATCATTGAGGAAGATCAATCCTTGTTGTCCAGCCATGGTGTCGAATAGTTTGTTGGACTCAAAGTAAGTGGTACATTGCTGAAGTATAGTCTTGTGAACAGTGAAGGTTTGACGCTGGAAGTTGATTAAAAAAGGCAATATGCTGAGAGATGAAACAAGGATATATACCGAGTTACCAATGCCAACGTTGACACTCATAGTCTCATTGCCTAAGTGCCTGCGTATGTCAACTCATATCCTACCATTTTCAAGCAGGAAGCAATTGACTATAGAGATAATCACTTACTTGAGAAACTTGTTAGGCTTTGGACTATGGCAAGACATGTTGAATGGATCTATAGCAGCGGTGAAATTGTAGATCGTATGCGGGTCTTGTGAAATGTGCTCTTGAACACCACAAAGAACGGACTTTGAACGTGAAAGGTATGTATGGAAGAAAGCCTGAGAAATGTAATCAGATCTCACTTGATTTAAAGTCAAGTCCTATATTGTGCGACCGTCTTGACGAGGAAATTCTGTTGATCAATAGAAGATTTAATGAAGAGAAGAAAGGAAGAAAAGAATGGGGAGAGAAGAGTGTAATGTACTTTCATTGAAGTTGCCAATTGGAAGTAAAAGTAAACAAAGTGTAAGTGTTTGAAGAAACGCAAGATATTGTCACGTGTATCAGGCAGCATTCAAGACTTCGAGCACAAACGAGGACGGAGGACACGCCAATGTGACTGGAGGAAGGAGCGATTGAGTAGGTATTCAAAACTTCCTTTACCATTGAACTACCAGCTATTTAGCAGGTAACAGTTACTTACTGTGTCAAAGTAGTAGTTCTACATCGTTCATGTCATCGACGATTGTATTCGTAGAGGCTTCGTCAATCAAACTATGAATGTATGCATCCCTCTACTCCGATGAACAGATTGCTAGGTGTCTTCTGTCTCAATCATATATGTAAAAGACATATGAGATGACTAGTAAGCTTGCCTTTTATCTGCATAGAACTACTAGTTATTCTCTAGGTACCTCATCAGCAGTACTCATCGAGAGCCATTGCACGTGAAAAAAAGGAGAAACCATTTCATTCAAGACAAAGCTCGATCTGGGTTTCCACCGCTGTCTGAAAATTCTCTAAGTGATGCTTTGTATCAGAAACAAAGAGTTGATGAAATTGCATGGGATGAGTGCCATTCTCACAATCTTCGCTGTCCTCGGTGGGCGTTGTCGATTTGAGGTGTGCCTCGCTGTATGAAAGACCTCCGGAATAAATCCATTCAACGAGTGATCCGAAGGATTAGTGATGTCGCCGAATATAAAGCTAGACTTTCTCGTCCATATGATTCGCAATGATCTTATCCTTGAACATTTACGATGCGCTCACAGAATGACTTTTCGCGTACCAAGCGTTCTTTTTCACCCGGTCTAGCGACGACCTGAAGCATGTTCCAATCATTGACATACTTTCCGTAATTAGCATTATGCATGTTACATATCCGTTCCACTCGTTCTCAGCTGATCTGAACACCTGACCAAAAGCACTGATTCTTACATTTGCTTTCCTTGTTTTTGCAACGCGCACTGGAAAACCCCGCCAAGTCGAAGCCTCCCGAAACGGCTTTCGGTTCATGGTATCGAACAGACAAACCGGCTATCTGCTTCGGCTATCTATATCGGCTGCTTTTGGATGCACATTAGGAAAGAGTGTATGACTAGCCTTGAATGTATATCCCACTAAGAAATGAGCATTGATGGCCAGAAGGACCCTAGTTAAATAGAAAAATTCGGGAGATTATACCAAGTTGCTGAAAATAAGAAGACGTGTAGGAAGCAATCTGCCAGGTCGGTAGATAATCCTGCTTGAATGTCCGTATCAATACTACCTCCCGAAACACATCCGAAGTATAACAAGAAGAAGCATCAATATCTCGAAATATTTAGCCAGTCTTAGGTCAATCCAGAGTTGGACAAGGTTCCGTTTTGGGTACAATCATGGTAGGTAGGTACTGAGAGAATCCGCCATTGTCAGTCTACACTGCTAGTATCACGCTAGTTATCTTATAGCCGATCACCTCACCACCCAAAATTGTTCTTAGTATCCAGATTGTCATTGCGTTTATAGTGCTGAACTTCAATATTTATATGATAGCCTCTATTTTTTTCCTAGGGTCAGTTACTCGTCGGGCCGGAAAGTATGGAACGAGATTCAACCGTTGTGGGGAAGCTCCTTAGTACTCGAAAGAGGCATAAATCATTCATATCGCGCTGAAAGCAGTAGGGGCTTCAATATAAGCAAACCATTCAGTTGATTCTTTCCTCCAAATCTCCATTTAATATAGTGGAACTGAAAGAAGCAGTAGATTCTATTGGCCCCTTGATACCGATATCGCTAAGCGTATCTACCGTCTAGCGCCGGAGTTGCAGAGCGACCCCATCTCTAACTTATTAACCTTGAGCCTTGAAACCAAATGTTAACAATAATCAAAAAGACCAGAGTACTCGTACCACCATCACTTTCCCGTGCAATATCACAAACATACAAGAACCCAGGCATCATGATAAAAAAATGGCATTCCCAAGAACACTATCGAGTTCGGGCATTTGATCCTCGCCTTTCCGACGGCACCCTAGTGACTCCCAAAGATGTCCAATACAATAAAGACAGTGGCACGTCCTACTTTGAATATCCCGAAGCCGATTTTGTGTCTCACGAAACCGGAGTTTACTCCCCAAGAGCATTCGTGGTAGCAGTTGATGGTGCTTGTCCTGGCAATGGAACCACACGGGCTGAAAAATCCTCCTTTGGCGTGTTTTTTTGGTCCAGACTCGCCTCTTAATACTTATGGTACTATTGCTCGACCATCTGGAGAAAAACATACGAACAACTACTCAGAGTTAATGGCCATACTCCATGCACTCGAGCTCCTTAAACATCATAGCGGATTACGAAATTATATCTCCGAACACCCCCTCTTAATTCACCATTCGTTTAGAGTAGACGTCATCATCATTACGGATTCCAAGTTCGTACATAGCTGTCTTACCTCGTGGCTTCCAATCTGGTTGAAGAACGGATTCAGGACAGTAGAGGGGAACTCAGTGGCAAATAAAGATCTCATTTTACGCATCCATCACATGATCGAGCTACTTTCAGATAATGTTGATATCCAACTCTGGCATGTTGGAAGGGAGCATAATCGAGATGCGGACGAACTGGCTGTTCGAGCACTTCGTACTCAGACTACAAACCAGGTACAAGATATTGCCTCATCAAGTCTTCGTACTCAGACTACAAACCAGGCACAAGATATTGCCTCATCAAGTCTTCAACACTTCAGATCTGGGATTATCCACCGTGCTCCTCGAATGATACATTTGGCGCATGAGATCGGGATTTTTCCTCAAAATAACTGCATGGAGATGGGTTTGGGAGGAATAATCATGTCCATGGTATTAGCTGGAAAAGATCGTGGAGCAAACTTCAAGACTCTCTTTGGACCCGAATACAGGAGTGATAGTTTGTACGTTATGTATCGAAAACTCGGCCGTGCAGTTCTTTACCTTTCTCTAGATGAGCCTGGCCACTATTCATATCCTGATAGTGTCATCTGGACGGCTAGGAGTACATCCATGTACCAATTTGCAGGCAAACATCCTCGACCGATTGACACATACGAGGCAAGAAAGCTACGAGAATGGTGTATTGACAGTCGATTGTTCTCGGATGGGAAACTTCTCACTTTGCTGTTGGAACTTATACATACGATTCGATTAACATTCGGTCTTGATGTCAGTCTCGGAAGTTAAATTTTACACCAATGGATGGAGTCCCATCATTTCAATGGAATCATCTGATGTCTAGATTGCCAGATACTTTTTTCGTCACCAGAACTTCACATTTATCTGCTTTCTTGCTACGATACATTTCGACATGGATCTCAACTATCCGAAGGATGTTTTCTTGCTAGGACGCCAGTATTACATACCCCAGGAGATCAAAATTGTACTCTCTTACCACCTCCTGAATGTTCGTCCCCTTCTTCGACAATAATACTATTAGTACCCCTCCTGAGTGCTCTTTCCCTACTTGAACACTGATACCATCAGTACCCTGCCTACACCAACTCTCTACTTGCTATACCATCCCACAGTTTCAGGCTACACGATTCATCCAGCAAGCGTAGATCGCGATTTTCGCTCTAAAAGAAGAAGGATAAAGAGGAGAGATGGACTCAGACTCCAATCTCCAATCTCCACGCGCAGAGAGAGAATTACACATACTACCCTACCATTTCAAATCTCTCCAGCAATAGAAATTCGACAAAAATATACGTTCCCTGAGTAATCCATTCGAGGATTGGAGTAAACCATTGCGTCGAGGTTTTTGTCAAAGGTATTCTTATGTGGAAGGGTGATATGAATAAGTCAGATGATATGGTTATGTAGTGTATGTGCTGTATTAATCTCAACCAACCACAATTCATCTCTTCATCCACTTTTTATCCTACGGAATCTTGACAAATCCAACGACCCAAGATGTTCCAAAACACACAGCTCGTTTTCTTATATGTCACCCCCCCTCATTCCTCCTCATTCCTTCTCATCCCCGCTCCTCGTTTCCTCCACGCCCCCTTCCAAATCCCCTCCCCTTCTAAATCCCCTCCCCTTCTAAATCCCCTCCCCTTCTAAATCCCCTCCCCTTCTAAATCCCCTCCCCTTCTAAATCCCCTCCCCTTCCAACTCCCTCCTTATCAGTGCTGCACAAACCACCATCCTCCATCCCCCATCCCCGACTTACAGTCTGACACAACACCTCTCCCTCCTTCTCGCTCCAAAGTATCTCGCTATTTCTAAATTCGGCATACCAGGTAAATATCCTTCATACATACCTAGTCTCCCATAGTGATTTGTACTAAACCCCAAACAATTCATCAAAACCAAAACTAAAGCATATGGATTCCTTCTTTCTTTATATCCATCCATCCACTCATCCATTAGAATTCCCACGCAAATAAATATAATAATTCGACAATGAGCAGATAAATAAAGTAAGAGGGAAAGGAGATAATATATGTATTTTTAAATCTCGCTAATGAGTTTGAATAATATATATATATATATATATATACCTACCTAGTATACATATACACACATATATATATATACACATCTAGATAGGTCCCTATGAAATAATATATTAATATAAATCCCAATCCTAATCCCAATTCAGTATTTAAGTCTATATAGAAAGAATATAAGAATATTTATTCCTTTTATATATATACATACATATACATACATATACATACATATACATACATATACATACATATACATACATATACATACATATACATACATATACATACATATACATACATATACATACATATACATACATATCCATATATATCCATACACCCATCCACCATCCACCCATACACCCATCCACCCATCCACCCATACACCCATCCACCCATCCACCCATACACCCATCCACCCATCCACCCATACACCCATCCACCCATACACCCATCCACCCATCCACCCATACACCCATCCACCCATCCACCCATCCATAAAATCCGCTCAAACCTCTAAATAATAAATTCCTCACTACACTCTAGATCTAGAAAATATCAAATCTTCCACATCCGTACAAAGTATATACGATATATATATCTTTGCATGGAGCCTTCCGACTTGCTACCCTCTCCCCACTCCCCCGAACCCTGATACCCCGATATCAATTCACAATATGAGTCGGATCACTCCCATTTAAAATATAAAACATAGAATATGAATCATGGAACCACCCTGACATGTACATCCAAAAAAATATCGAAAAACTTCACACCCCTTGTCTTCTCTAATAAGTAGGTATACAAATGCACCCAAATATCCAATTCCCTCATCACGTATCTCATAGCAGATACGCTAGAGTCATAGTGCCAAAAGATGAAGAGGTATTTCTCATTAAGATTATCTAGCCCGTCTTCCCAACCATCTATGTCAAACTCCATTAAACATTATTCCCACTCGCACGAACTGCCATCTGTTAGGGTATCCGATGCTACGACTGCGGCTCGATGATCATATCTATCGCTGGTCGAATGTGACTAGTAGATTCGAGTGATCGACGAGGTTGAGTGTATCTCGAATCTTTAGTTGTTTCCGGAGATTCAGAGTTCTTGAGTTTCAGAATGCAGCCTGCAATAATGAAAACAGGCTTTGCTAATATCGAATACCCAACTCATTCAAATTTCTCATCAGACACTCTCTCCAGCCGGTAGTATCAAAAGTAATTCCACACAACTCAAATCTTTCTCGACAACAGACACTCGTCAACCGGTTGTTTCAATTCCTTCTTTTCTTCACCACAATACCACCCCTCATCAACCAATTCCTGTTCTTTCTTCCTCCACGAAGAATATTTACTAGCCGATTTATAGTCGAGATCTCCCAAACGAGCTTCTACAACCTGTGAATTTTTATCCATACGAATGTATAACGAACAATCTCTGAGGGTCATGGCCACGCAAAGTTCATGCGATGCCTTTTCCGACTTCAACGATCCTTTACCATCATACTCTGTTTGGAGATCGCGAAGCCGTTTTAACAACGGATTTTCGTGGATCCATTTTGCAAGTGATTGAACGGCAGGGGATTCACGAGTTTTGTGTAATATGTGTGAAGCGGATGCCTCATAGTTTGCAAACTTTAACTTGGGGTGGTCATCGGTAAGTTTGAGTGGACAGAGATATGATTGAAGATCAGTATTTTTTCTTTCTTCTCCAAAAGCAATCCGACGTGCGTGAAGTGCACAAGTACGACATCTTATGGCTTGAGATGGCATTTCATGGGATGGAGAGAGCCATTTTGGCTTAAATTCTACGACGGTTTCTTGTAATGATTTCCCTGTGAATTTATCAATATACGCGGCGACAAAAGATAAAACTATCAACTTACTGGGTGTCATATCTGTTACCAAAAGACCATAATCGTCTTTCGCTAAGAAGGTACCACTTTGTGCTCTTGAACGATAAAATTTCCCTTTGGGTGGTGGGGCGAGATGGTTCGGGGTAGTTGTACCACCGGGATTATCAAAACGTCTGAGATCGGTGTTTAATCCAGGAATCACGTTGAGATGACCGATGTAGACCAACTCTTGGGTAACTAATTGTTCTGGTTCGAATAGGGGTAAGATATATCCGAGCCATTGCTGATGGGAATCTGAAGTTGGGGCTGTAGTGGGAACATCTTTCCGAAGACGTAATAATTTTCCTGGAAACCGTTTAGGACCATGGTGATATTATAGCGTTAAAGTATGAAGATACATTGTTTCATACAATTTGTAGCAAAGGAAGTGTAGAAAAAATTACCAGAGAGATATTCTAATTCTTGATGACCCTTGTCCAGTTCGGCAATGTCTTGTGATCCTGGATCAAGCGTGATTTGATATATAACATTTGCAGCCCCTTCTGCAAGAACTTTGATACTGATATGGCTGTTGGGGAGACGATAAGGTTGAAGTGATAAAGTATTCATTATTATTGGATTTATATCAAAATAATTTGAATGGAAAATTGGGGGAAAGATGACTGAGAAATGACTGAGCTGAGGAATGAGTGGAACAAGTGAAGAATAGAAACCGGATTGGGTCTTATGAAATAACTGGAACGAATGAAACTTACTAAGTAATGCGTCATATCAGGGTTCTTCCGTTCACCGTAATCAAAATTTGGCTTAAGCGCAAATGACGCTTGGACTTTTAGTGGTGGAGGAAAAGACCAGCTGAGTCAAGAAGTTGGGATGAAGTGGTTGGTATGAATGTATGGGAGAAAAGATAATGGTCTATAGGGAAATGGATGGGAAAGGAATCTCAGTAAAAGAGTTCGAATGGGATGGAGATGGAGATGGAATCAAATAATGGTGGGAATACATCTCGAGGTACAATAATAATATTACCTAGCAGTGGTAATATAAAAGTTCGTAGGTATTGAATCGAACTCCCTAGTATATTGAGCATTTGGACTTGAAGACCGTATGATGTGAAGGCCCGCAGAATAACGTTGAGACTCTCAAATTGAGCTCAGTCATTCCCCATGGATCAAATGTCATCTCGACTAGACTAGAGACCAAGGAAAAGAAGTGAGATTGAATGAGATGGCTGGCTATTATGATGGTGAGAGAACATGAAATGCTATCATCATATTCACATATGAAAGCTTGAGTGTGTGAGTGAGACATGTAGATTCATAGACCTGGTATCACGGGAGAAGATGGAGGATGAAGAAGATGAGGGTGAAGAAGATGTCTTCTCCACTTTGTTCCTATGTTTCTGGCAGAGTCGCCCTTCAACGGGATAGAAATCTCGGTGTTATTGATGTTGTGATTTGAAACCGAGATCTGTAATACGATAGTGTATACTGTATTCATGCTGCAAATCACATAATAATAACAACACTTCATAGCTTCTCCGCAAATCCCCATGTACCCCCGAGGTTGGCGATAGTTGAAGGAATGACTTTGAAGAGAAATGATAAGAAAGCTGCATGAACAGAGATGTTGGGCTAGATTTGCTATAGAACTTTCTACATGATTGAGTATCCATGTTCGTTTGAAGAGTCAAGGGAGGGGGAGGTGAGAAGACGAGGAAAGGTGGAGATGCGGAGTATGAGATGGACTACATCAAACTAAGGTCTCTTGACTGAGAAGCGATATCTGATGAATGTCAGTGACTTTCCATTCCATATACCCAGGACTCGTAGATATCTTTGAATACTTTTGATAACTGGGGGTAATGAGTGTATTGTTACCAATTCATCCCATATATCGAGGATGGAAGTGTTGATGATCAGATGAAGTAAGACAGATGCTGATCAGTGTGTAAGGTTGTAATAAAAGTCCGATGTCAATCAAACATACATGGGACGAAAGGAACGGGGGGGGGGATGTGAGAGAGAGAATATTAATGAATATCAATATGCATAATCAATTAATTATGCAAGGAAATTGACCTGATGAACATCGGACAAATGATGAGAAACAGTAACGATGATTTTCCGGGATGGGGTCATGGAATAGAAATTATGATCCAATTTCCGGGAAATTCCTTGTTGGGTTTTCAATCGAAATTTCTTTCTTTTTTTCGATTTATTTTCTATTTATTATTTGTTTACGAGGTGACAGGAGGGGCTCGGGAGTCGGGAGGCCGAGGAGAGAAGGAAGAGAAAATAAGAGGGAAATCTATGGTTCACCAGTTCTGGGTCTCATATTATTAATCAATGGGAGTGGGTGAGTGGTCAGAGCACATTTGAGTCTGTGAGTTGAGGTGAAGTGTGAATCCAGTGAAGGGAAGGAAAGTGAAGTGAGGGGAAAGAAGTGAAAATCAAAAATATATGATGACGAAAGTTAAAAGAGAAGAGAGAAGTCGGGGATTTAAGATATTGCTGTCATGGTCATGGTAAATAGATCAATATTGAAGATGTAATATATATACCTAGTATATATCCAATATATACCTAGTATATATCTAGATAATACCCATTACTATAATCATGTATGATATATAACACACAATATCGTAGGATACAATATACAATGGTTACCACAAGAAGAAACCACTCGTATATGGATTGTGATTCTCTATCGTCGTATCAAATGCATTTCCGGACATCGGAAAAATGGGATTCAAATTCCATCCACAGTCAACAGGGTTCATACGGTTACAGGAAGCGAGCTACAAGAAAATCCAGCGAGGGAGAAATGCGGAATGAAAAATTTATTAACTCGGACTGGGTAAGCAAGAGGAGCTTCACTATCACTTTTTATATTCAGGAACCATATCTTGTCCTCTCATATACACACACACATATATACACACACACACATACATACACGAAACAAGAACATTGAATATTCATCTCATCATCACGTTCATATTCATATTCATATTCATATCATAAAATTCAATCCCTTCATCCTCTTCTCTTCCTCTTTCCTTCTTTATCAAAACTAAGAGGATTAGCATCAACCCGTTACGTCACACGATCATCAAATCCATCCATCCATCAAAAGCCTTTTTTTGCTCGCACGATCAAATCCATCAAAAATATCCTTCGACTCGACATCTCCTTCTGTGAAGCTCCAGTAAGCTCAAATCAATCACAAACTTCATCGACATCGACCAGACCTCCTCGAACGACCTACTCTTGCGTAGGAACGTTTTGATCGTCGACATCTAATGTCATATCAAGATGGCTTTCAATTTTAACTGGTCGCCTCTCACGGCCGATGCGGAATTTTATCAAAGAGCTCAAGAGATGCTCACGGCAGCTCTCAATAAATCTCCCAAGCCTCCCATCATAAAAGATGATATCCTCGTCAACGAATTAAATTTGGGTTCGGTCCCGCCAGATTTGGAAATATTGGAGATTGGGGATTTGGCAGAAGATAGATTTAGGGGAATCTTCAAGATGTGCTATTCTGGAGACGCTTTCTTGACTTTGAAAACAAGAGTTCAGGTACGTTGATTGTCGTCTTTTTCGTCGCTGTCGTCGCTGTTGTCGCTGTCGTCGTCGTTACATTTCCCATTTTACCTATTCCGCATAAACCTTTATTCTCCCACTTTTGTTGAAACCTTTTATCGAACGATAAGTGAGTTGTCATTGCAGAATTATCGACGCGCATAGAGGGGAAATCGCCTTTTAATTTCACCACTTGACTTGCATATCGCACATGCTTGACACAAACCTATAATGCATAGCTAATATATCAATCTAGGCTAATCCGCTCAACAATCATTTGTTCTCGAAACCTTCATTCACATCTCCACAACCCCTCGCCGCAGATGCGGGGCTCACCATCCCTTTACAAATTACTTTGTCGGATATCAAATTATCGGCTTTCATCATTGTGGTATTTTCAAAGTCAAAGGGATTAACCTTGGTCTTTCGAAATGATCCCCTCGAATCCCTCAAGGTCTCCTCTACCTTTGACTCGATACCGTTCATTAAGGATTATTTACAGAAGGAAATCGAGCAACAGTTGAGGACTTTGATGATGGATGAACTGCCTGCCATTATTCACAGATTGTCATTGAGATTATGGTGTCCAGAATATAGAGCAAAAGAAGATCAAGAGATGGCCGAAGCGGCAAAGAAAGCGAAAGACGAGGTAGCCGTAGATCCATTTGCAAGTCCACCACAAGATGCCGTCGATGCCCGTGGAAATGTTCTAGATGCGACTGAGATTTCCAATTTATCATTGGATGGTGGATCAGAGATTCATTCCTTGTTCTCACAAAAGAACTTACTTCGATTAGCGGCACTTACCAATTCTCATCGAACATTGTCACTCTTCACTCCTTCTATCCGAGACGCGGTATTTCGAGCATGGGCACCTTCTGAAAGAGGGGATTCGGCTGGAACTACCACACCGGCAACTCCATCTCTTCATAGGCCTCAATCATCGCTCGGAGGTCAGAGTACAACTTATACATTCTCGAATAGAAACTCCGATGATGGTCACGGTGGAATACCATCTAGACCATCTCTGGTCAATATGAATTCGGCCACAACAGGATTAAGTCTGGGTGCAAATCGAGGTTCACGATCACATCCTACGAGGAAGAAGAAGAATAGAGTGGTGAACTTGAGGAAACCCAAAACTACGGATAGTGAGAGTGGCGAAAGCGAGTCTGCTTCGACGACTACAGCATCCGAATCAACAGTCTCATCTCGTATTCCAGAGGAGCCAGAAGATCTTCCAGTTACTCCGCCATCTGGAAAGGTCCGATTCAACAGCATTGATCTTGGAGACTCACCAAAGAAACTTCAACCATCTCGTTCTATGACACCCGAACAAGTCAAAATGGATCAAGTTCCAACACTCACTGTGGAACCTTCTACTCCAATCAATACGCAACAACAGAAGCGTCCCGCTTATAATCAGTCAGCGTTCACTTCGTACACTCCAGAAAAGTCCGCAACCACTCCACCACATACACCATTCTCATATCCACATGGACTTCACTTCTCGACAACCGAATCACCATCCGGAATTCTCGAACAAGCTTGGATTATGAAGATGGCTTCTGAACTTGCTCGTCGTCAACATGACGACAAAGCAGCTCGTCAAGGTTTCTGGTCTACATCAAGCAATGGAGATGATGCTCCCCCAGCCTATGAACCAAAAGCCTTGTAATGTAGGCTTATTACACTCAATTTAACCCGTGTATAACACCTCGACTCTTTCCTTTGTCAATCATTTCACAGGAGTTTTATGGGAACAATTACGGACTTACGAACACTCCACTCTTTTGTGTTTTTGGAAGTACCTAATATTGATAAAAACTTTGGTGCTGCGATTTAGCGACTTTACTTTTTTTTTTTTTTTTTTTTTTGCTGGCAAAAGATATGCTGTACCTCATGGGAGGTTTGGCATAATTTGCATGTTTGGATTTTGGAATGGGTTGGGTTAGGCAGGAAAGGGGATCGTATATCAATATTCTGGGTGGTTTCGGTGGTAGGTACACAAAAGTTGGTTCTTGAGGATTGTTTCGTTGTGAGCGATTTGGTTGCTTAGGGGTTGTTGAGTCCTGATTTTCGAATGAGGTTTTGTGTGGGTTAATGTGAAAAGGGGGAGAAGTGGAAGTTTTGAATTTTATATACACACGGGACTTTACGATTCCTTTCCTTGCAAATCGTTTTGAGCGATACTTTTCGCCTCCAGCTACTCACGAATTTCTTTTGTCTTTGCCACCTTGAAGACACCTTTCTTGTTTCGGTGCCGATTGTATGATCATTTTAGAGATGAGACTTTTGGGGAGAAAGATTGAAGAGATGAGATAGATAGAGTACAATTATACCGAGATCTATGTTTATTCGTTTTATGTGTTTGAGAGTTGTGATGTTGTGAATGTTAAGTGAGGTGAATTACATTTGTTGTGATTGAATTTGCAATCACAGAATAAGTGTTCCGGGTTTATAGATCATAGATCTGATATGGAATATCTGATATCTGATATCTAGGGAGTTAGGGAGTTAGGGAATCCAATTATCTGGACTCGGGACTGCATAGATATGTATAGTTTAGTGATTAGAAATTTTGGAATATTGAAAGAGGGAGGTTTTGGGGGATGAGAGGGAGATGGGATGGGATGGGATGGGATGGGATGGGATGGGATGGGATGGGATGGGAGGGAGATTGAAGGAGGGAGATTGGAGGAGGGAGATGAGGATTTGATATTCTAATATTCTGATACCCGAACAATCTCTATTCTTATATTGTGTATTGTGTGTGGTGTGGGTTGCCAATGGATTAGATTAGATTAGATTGGATTGGATTAGATTGGTGAGCTAGTAGGAAGGCGAGCTGGCGAGCTAGTATATTGATTAATAGGTGTATGTACTATGTGGTATGTGGTATATAGCATATAGCATGTAGTCATAAATAAGTTGGTGTGCTGATTGATAGATAGATATACTTATTACTATCTGTCTAGCTAGTAAGCGGATGAGTACCGGTAGATGAGTGAGTGAGTGAGTGAGTGAGTGAGTAAGTAGAGAAACAAACTAATGTGCAGGTATTGCCCTGAGACAGCTTAGTGTGTGGATGTGCGGATGGGATACTGGAAGTTGATGTGTGACTGACAGTGTAGGCAATAGTATACTACAGTGAAACTGTGGCGCGTATTAGTATATTGATATTGCAGCTAGTACGTATAGAAAGGAGGTTATACTATTCTTGTATATATTTATATGCCTAAAGAATACTAGCAATATACTGAAATACTGGAATCCAATACAAAATATATACATTCCTATTCTAATTAGGCTAGAAATAAGGGATTCTCATTCAATTTGAAATAAGGAATGGAATTTTATTATCTAATATGAATAGAAATCTCTTTTTTTTAGTTTAGTTTAGATAAGAATAAATATTTTATAATAAATTCCAGTATTTCAGTATATTGCTAGTAATATTGAATAAATAAATGATATTGAATACTTTCAGTAGTATTGAATTCTATATTATATACGGATGTGTTTCGAAAAGAATTGATATGTATTACTAAATTAATCTGTATACGGATTACGGGAAATACTATTGTCTACATTGGTAACTGATGTGTGACTGAGATGGGATGGGACGGGGTGTTGATGAGATAATAAGATAGTGAGTTCATGAGCTAATAGACTAGTATGTTATTGAGCTGGTATGCGATTGTGATGATACATACTCACTCCGTAGATCATTGTATTAGTTGGTTGGCAGTGAGCGATCGAGGTTGAACTGAGAAGGTAATCTGATTCCAAGCGAAGTTGAGATGTGCTGAGTATTCTACCTACCTACCTATCTATCTATCTACTTGGATATCATTATCTCAAGATGGAATATTTGATTATCTGAGGAGTGGCAGATAGATAGATACTAGATACCTGGTGGACTGGAGTTGGAGTTGGAGTAGGAGTATGTGTAGAAGTAGAATTATACATGTAGACTTTTCATAGGATACATACAATATAGGAGTCAAGATGCATACAAGACATGAATGAGTTTCTTCTCTTCTTCACAAAATCCAATATGTGCGTCTGAATCCCGAGTTTCTATCTACTCCTCCTAATTGCTTTCTTCCACTCCTGTAAATTGACATACATCAGGATGCTATTCTAATATCTATCTTGAATATCCTCCTCGTCATCGATTCCTATTGTACAATCTCTCGCCTCCTTTTACATCCTTAAAAGACCTTAGATATTGATTGCCATGTTGTAAATCGTGCTCACTCATGTCTTGGTCGAGCGTTCTGATGATCGCCTGTGGATCCATTCTTCCTAATCCAATATTTCCGCGCTCAGAATACAGTGCCAATTTCGCCAAAGTTCGATCTCCTTTATCCCACTCTCTTTGAAATATCATCCTTGTGACCTGTGCGCCGTCCAGAATAGTGAGAAGGGCCTTTTGACAATTGAAGCCTGTGCAGTAATGCGCCGATACTCCAATCTTATGGATGTCCGAATAGGTTCGCAAAACTGCTTAACCCGTTGCGCATGTATGACTGGGCACTCATTTCGACGTCTCCAAAACCCAATCGATGATTCGTAGAGCCCGAACACAATTGTCATTCCCATCCCCATTTCCATTTCATCCCCATTATCAAAAATACACCGCCTCATAACTTTTCCAACTCTGCTTTTAATCTTTTTACTTCTTCCTCCTTCTCCCTTAGTTCTTTCCTCAACTCCTCATTCTGCCTATCCACCGTTTTCTTCCCTTCCACTAACTTCTTAACCTCTGCCCTCTCCCCATCCTTACTAAATGGTTGTCCCGGTCTCTGCGACATCGGTATAAAAACAGTTCTCTCCCCCACACTTCCTACCATCCCTCCTCTCATCGTCCTCGTCGCCTTTCCCTTTCCCCCATTATTCTTCTCCCTCGGTACGGGATTTGTCAAAACCTCATAGAATTGTTCATAAGGTTCATTAAAAACCATCTCATCATATACCCAAGACCGAACCTCATTATCTCGATTTTGTATAAATTGTAGTTGATCATCGCCATAAGGTTCGAGTACCAGTCGATGCCAGAAACTTTGGGCTTTTTCGTTGGCGATGGGATCGTAGTAGATTTTTATTTGAATATCAAAACCACCCCAACCGGTCTCCGTTACTTGGAATGGATCGCCAGGTTTGACATTTTCGACTGCTAGAATTATGGAAAGATCGGTTAGCACATGGTTTTAATGTAGACACAGGAGTACTCGAATTATAGTCGATAGAGAGGGCGGCGCAAAGACTTGCGCAAGTTGCCAAACACAAAAACAAGAAAATACATACATCTGAGATGCTGCGGGTAAGTATCGTGCAGTTTAAATTGTACCTTTCGACACCAATATGTAATATCCACGTCATCAACTCCCTTTACAAATACCGTCCATTGATGTGTATGTTCCTCTGGTGTTCCCTCTGGTTTTGGATATTTCGCACTGAATTTGTGAGATGTGGTACCATATACAAAGGGTCTATAGATTGAGACACCTTTTGTACGTTTTTGTGTATTTGGTGGTGCCATTCTTATTGTAAATCGATAGATAGGTCACGATGGTGATGTTGTTGTTGAAGAGGGGCAGATTGAAAATAATAAATAAAGATTCCAAGTCACGATTCGGGATGGAAAGTCTCTAGGTCGGTCGATAATTAAGGTTTAAGCTAATCTAGTCCATACATCCCAGACTTTATTACTAGCCCTGGAAAGGACTAGATCATTAGTGGTTAATGATCATATACTGACGTCTACAAGAATACGATGGACGGCCTTTAAAAGATCCGATGAGTACCAGGGTTGAAAGAATATCAAAAGATCGAGAATACAAAATCATCAGACATTTTTCTTTCCATACCTTTCTTGAGTAATCTTATATAAGAAATCACGAATCGACGTCAAATATTCAGATATGTCAGTTACCAAGAGAATAGTAGTTTGTGGTGGGAATGGATTTTTGGGTTCAAGAATTTGTAAATCCGCGGTTGCAAGGGGATGGGATGTTACCAGTATTAGGTGTGTTGAAAGCTCGAGTCCGGAGCTCTATTGCCCCTCCATCTCCTGCCATTCTCACCAGCCCTAGATTCCAATACTAACATGACCTCTAATTCAGTCGATCCGGTGAACCAACTTGGTCTTCAGTATCATCTTCTTCCACACCACCCGCATGGTCTCATAAAGTAACTTGGGAACGCGCCGATATCCTCAAACCATCTACCTATGCTCCCCTCCTCAAATCTGCAGACTTTGTCGTCCATTCTATGGGTATCCTTCTTGAAGCAGACTACAAAGGTGTCATATCTGGTCGCGAATCCCCCATCTCCGGACTCTCTCGCGCATTTTCTTCATCCAAAGCGGGTTCCCAAAATCCCTTGACTCGTCAGCCAGGCGAGGACTTACGTTCTCAAGAGAGAGATGGCCAAATAACCTACGAACTTATGAATCGAGATTCTGCCATTACACTCGCTTCTGAATCCTATAAAGAAAATGTCCCCGCATTCGCATATATAAGTGCAGCAGGCGGAGCACCAGTTTTACCTCAAAGATACATAGATACGAAGCGTGCGGCCGAAAGTACGATTGCCAGCGAGTTCCCAAAGATGAGAAGTGTGTTTATTAGACCTGGTATGTTATATGATAGTTCGAGGAAGATTACTATGCCATTGGCTGCGGCGACAGGCTTGGGTGCTGCGTTCAATGGGCTCACGGGAGGAATATTTGGGGGAATCATGGGGGCTGCTGGTGTTAAACCACTCAAGGCGGATGTGGTCGCCGAAGCTGTTGTGGAGGCATTGAGTGAGGAGAGTGTTAAAGGTCCCGTTGAGGTCAAGGAGATTGAAGAATTGGCCGAGAAAGCTTGGAGAAAGGGTATGTTATAAATGAATAATGATCGAAAATTGCCTATTGTGGCTTTGTATTTGTATGTTAAACTATAGAGTGTTTGAACAGCTCAGCACAATCTATTCACCCAATCCCTCATAATTATATAGCTGTGCCACGCTCAAAACTATCTCTAACTTCCGCAGTGTACTAGAAAAGAGATTAGCAAATGCAAAGAAAAGAGAATGTGAAATATGCTTACCTTATTGTAAAACCTCGACAGCTTCTGGTTGAACTGCTTGTTCTTATCGTTGATATAAGTAACATCTCCATCCTCTCCATTTGCAGCATTCCTCGCCCTTTGTTTCTTCAACCTTGCCTCTTCCGCCTGTTGCAAGTCCTTAACCAATCTATCCACAGCCGCCTTCTCTGGTTTGTGTTCTACAAATCCTGTTGAATCAGCCGTACTGTAGAAAGTTCCATCCTTATCGACAGCAACCAATTCTCCATCATCTGTCTCCACAATCTCTAGTCCTCCCGATGCAGCGGCTTTTTCTACAGCGGCCATCTTCTCCTTTTCATAGAAATCCATATCGGGCTTTAGATCGCGGATTTGTCGTTTGTAAACCTTTCGACTATCTTGTCGATAGTCTTGGAATGCTTGATCGTCTCGATGCGCCTCCTTTTTCTTAAGTCGTTTATCCCATCTTTCACTTTCTTCAACAGTCCAATCCCAAGCTCGTTTACGCTCGAAATCTTCGCCAGCAGCTTCGGCGTCGGCTTTGAGAAGATTGTGGGATGCGACCGCAGATTTGCGGTTCAAAGATGTGAGAAGATTCGGATCAGTGGCTAGACGTTGCGATTCGAGAGTGGCTTCTTTGAGATTTGTTTGGGCAGAAGATTTGGCGCGAGCTTGAAGAGCTTTGAATCTTTCTTGTCGTTCTTTGGCTTTGGCGGCGGCATCTGAGGTGGAAGAGGATGAGGTTGATGGTGTGGGTTCGGCGATTTTCGTAGGGATCAATTCTGATGGTGTCTTTGTTGGCTCTTCTCCGTTGGTTACAGCATCGAGTGGTTGCACTTCCTCTGATGATTCAGCTGTTGCGCGGGTCTTTCTCTTCTTTGCTGGTGGCATTTTCAAGGTTTGTGATAAATTTGCGTTTTGAAGATTATAATTCGAGTTATGATGCTTTTTGATGATCTCGAACTAACTGCAAGGACCCAATTAAGTTTGCGTTTCAATCTGGATGGATGTTTGCGGTTTGTGTAGGAATGATGGAATAGATTAGTGGTTGTTGTCGTTGAGAAAAGAGCCTAGAGGCGGACGCTACTGAAATGGCTGTTTTGCTGACTAAGATCTGGTCCCGTACTAATGTTACCCCGGATTTACTAGAGCTAAGGTAAGTGGAGCTTTCGCTGTTCACATTGCCATTAGCCGTTAGCTTCCATTACGGAATAATCAGCTGTTATTTGTTAATTCAATCCGTATCAAGACACAACTTTGAAAGATTTACACACTCTCCGCGTTGTCTATATCTCCTAATCATGAATTGCCAACAAGTGACATTTTCATTATACCGGCGCACTATCAAGTCCTCCAATTTCCCCGCAATCTCGAAATCCACTAAACGATTCAAAGGTTACAAAAGCAAGGAACCGCTGGTCCTCCCAAGAGTAGTAATCGACCTCGACGCTCCTGATAATCCCGCCGTACGCGATTACGATGAAATTAAAGACAATGTCCTGACACCATTCCAACAACAAGTTGTCAGATCAACGGAAAAGGCCAAAACTAGACGTGCAAAACTAGTTCGAAAACAATTGGAACTGGGAGTTGAGGGATTTCCTCGCAAAGGGGGAAAAAAGAACCAAAGAATCAGAGATCAATCTCTAGAACATGAGTTAGCATATAATCCAGATGCTTCCCCGCCAACTGTCACAGCTATGGATCTTATGACTTATGCGCTAATGGGGAATCCATTCATGGCTAAGACTTCGAAGAAACCACCTCATGTGAGGGATGTACATATGGAGGGTCTATTCGTGGCTCATAGTATCGATTTCAAGGATACAGCAAATATGACGATTAGGGCTTTGACGGAGGACTTTGATATTTCGACGGATGGGCAGGGCGGGGAGAATGTGGATACAGAAGGGAATCGGGAAATTGTGAGGAAACGGAAAGAAAGAAATAAGATGCTAGAAATTGGCGAGGTAGGCACCGAGGGGCAGAAGGTTGAGACACAGTCTCAGGAAGTCAACTGGGGATAGAATGGCACTTGAGAAATGGACTGAGAAGCTTAATCTCGACTATGGGAAGGTTGGAGAAGGAGCCAAATAAGAACCAGATCAGCTTTTACCAATCAAGCGCCAAAATGTTTATAAGCTATCAAAATCTCCAAACATATGTCTAATCTTCCAAGAGTACTTACCACAGACTTATGTTCGTATCTGAAGGGCCTTAATAGAGCTCGGTGAGTGTTCATAGATATCTTGTTATTCGAACTCGTATCTAAACATTAGCCTAGAATTTGCTCTGATTACAAAAACATTGGGCACCAATCTTCGGAACGGAACTACTTAGAAGATAGCTATTCAAAAGTACACGTATTGATGTTATTATGGAGCATGATTTCCGTAACTATATGAACGCAGCGAGCGGAAATTTACAATGCAGAAGTTAGAATAGTAACAGAGCTTCGTTTCAGGAGAAGCTCGTAATCCATGCTGAAAGAATGCATCTGAGGTGACTTCGTAGAATGTTTCTGCTTAAGTTGGTACGGAACGCTAGCTCTATACACTCAATGATCATAAAACCTCGTCACAGGATGATCATCATAGTACTAGCTCATCTACAAGACTTGGTAATTTCGACAAAACGGGGCAGCCATACAGGAAGAACTAGTTTAAAAAATATAATAGTAACTTTTGAACTTACGTAGCTTGCTATTGCCATTCGTCTGCTCCTCACTTACTGCTCGAGAATCACAATTTTCTCAACCTCAGTATCTCAGCCTTGTTTCCTTACTACAACGAAAATTACCTTGATTTCTCCCCTGAAGCTCGCCCTATCTCCTTTCGTTTTGAAGATCTACTAGCAGAGATCATCTCAAATTGGAATCGGATCCGGATTCCAGTACATACAGTAAGATTCAATTACCCAAGCCACAATCCCAAGATCTCACATCAGCAGTCATTAGCTTCACATTGATCTCACACACTTATGTAAATCCATAGCCTCGTCATACATATATACCACTTTCACCATCTCGCAGCCTCACTCGATTCGTGCAAATGCCGATATATATCTTATTCACCGCTATCCTCGAACTTCTCACCGCGCTTCTGATCCCAAGAAATTCAAAAGGACCCCGAGTCAACTCGAAGAAAATTCATTGCGTAAAAGCTGATACCGCATCAAGTCTCGATTCTCCAGGGATCAAAAAGCTAGGCAGCTTTTCAGCTGGAGCTGCGGGCGTTTGATATATCGCTAATTACTTCTTCCGGAACATGCACGTCAGACCAGGGAGGCGGGCGGAAAAGTAAACTCGGTACGAAAGCTCCGTGCACTGGTAGGGCTTAGAGTGTCAATTCTCATTGCTTATTTCGACACAGCATATGCAACGGGCTATTCCTTGTCAGAACAAACCCGGGGGCGAGATCTAGTTGTCGTATATTTTACCTGCGGCTCAAGGAGATGGGGTTAGGAGGAATAACGTGGGGGTATGTGAAGGAGTGGCACGGGCTCGACACCCTCTCGGAGATAAATATGCATGTATTATGCAGTCATTTTTTGCAGATGGGTGAAAAACCGACCAGTGATGTCAGATGAGTTTTTAACGATTACTTCGCGAAGCTCCTTAGGACGGCAACATACACTTCAGGCTCACAGTAAAGAATGACCAATCGAAATGTGTGTTTGATAACTAATATTTGCAGAGATTGAAATAACTATGGACAATTTGATGTAAAAACATAAGGTATGAACAAGTGACTGCAGGAAATTAATCGCTCGCAGAGACATTGAAGATTATGAACAGAGTGAAAAAAAGAGTCCGTGACGTCGTTATGGATATTCAAAATCAGATCCCAGCTGAAAGAAAGGCGTGAAAAAGTGAAATCTGAAACCGGCAGATGGGAATTGGGATGTGTATGTCCCAGCAGAGATAGCATAGTGAAAACGAAATTACATGTAATCCAACGAAGATTGAAGAATATAGAAGAGACGAAGAAATTGAAATGAAGCATTTGAGCCATTGCTTGAGAAAATCGGATATCGTTCGTAACTTCGTTAATCATGGAAAGAAAGAATATGTCCATATTTTGTATTCAAATTCATATCCCAAAACATAAGAATGAAGAAGTCATAAAACTATAACAGAAAAATCATAGAAGTGAAATATTCCAAGGACGATAGGTATCATTGATTCCCGGTCGGGTAGAAATGGTAATGAGGGTAAACGAGCGAACCCCTAAACGTATGGTAACCGTAAATTATCTAAATCTATTAGTTAACTTTTTTCCCCTGCGAAGCCGAGTTGGACTCACAGGTTACTGAATAGCTATTGTTGGCCGCCACTACTGCCCGGTTCATATGTATCTTGGGGATCGTAATTATATCCTTGGCTTGTGCTGTTCGTGTATGATTGGTGCTGCAATGTCGAATATTGCGATGGGGGGTACTGTGATGGAGGGTACTGTGGAGGGTATTGTGTTGGTGGGTACTGTGTTGGTGGGTACTGTACTGGTGGGTATTGTGCTGGTGGATATTGTGTTGGTACTGGCTGCCCTGTAACACTGTATCCTCCGTATTGATTGAAACTACTGGTGCCGATATTGTACCCTGTTCCTCCATGATCTGGTGCTGATGGAGACATGGTATTACCATAACCTAAGGTAGTAGGTTAGTCCGACGCGATTTCAAAGCTAGGGACATTTGAAGAAGTACCTGGCATAGTGTAGGGAGGAGTACTATACGGGTTACTCGCATGGTATGAGCTTGGTGCAAGTGCTTGAGTTGATAGACTCAACGGTGGATGAGCTTGATTGTAAGATTCTGTAACCGCTCGCCGGGAACCCCGATCGATCCTACCGATAAACCAGACCTTAACATTATACTCCACGGTATAAACCTTGTGGTAGTTAATTCGTGATGCGGCTTCAAGTTTGTGCTTGTTCGAGTCTGGGATCATCTTGACTGGACGATATTTCATTTTAGTTCCATCCTCATTCTTAATCAACATTGGCTCTGGAGTGGTATAAATAATGGCATGCTCATCAGCATGCACACCTGGCTTACTTGTCGCCCTGTTCGCGTAGGTCATGATTGGCCTGACTCCACAGTCAACAAAATCACAAGCACGCAGAAAAAGATGAAAATAAGAAGCTTACAAGCAAAGACAATGACCCCTCCTAGGGTCTACGACCACGAATCTTCGTACTTTTGCATGTATCTCTTCTCCATGCTTTTGTCTAACTGACACCATGGTTCCTCCACGTGCATTCCCCGTCGGTTCAGACCAAAGGACTTTAAAGACCTGCCAGATTTAATTTCGAATCTATGAACTGATGATGCAATCAAGACTCACCCTCCCAAATACAAATTCACAAGCCCTGTGCACTTTATAATCTACCAGTATTTAGTGGGCAGATACATCTTCGGTGATGGAGGTGCTCACTTTCATCAAAGTTCCTATGCTCAGTAGAAGTGTTGTTCGGCTTCAGGTTGGCTGCAATAGGTGGATCCGCATCAGCCACGGGAACCAAACTTGTAGAAGCCAGAGAGTCAGTAAGTGCTCCGACATCTTTGTTGTCTGTCGTATAGTTTTGGTCAACCGAATATTGAGTTGTATCTTCGGAGACTGTGTCCAGCTGTGGAGTATCGTCAAATCTGGGGATATATGCATCGGCAGATGAGGTCGAAGTTGATTGGTCGTCCTCAAGCCTCCACTCGATTTCACCCCTAGAATTGGTGCGATAAGATTCCCATTGCTTTCTTTCCCCACTCCATTCCCAATTACTCCATGAAGTCAATGCAGACGAGGAACTGGATGAACCTCTTGATTCTCTTTTGTGGCTGTGAGACGACGGATTTGACATGGCCACACAGTATTTATAATGGAATGTAAATTATCCAAACCCCAACATGCGAACCACTCCATAAGGGATTCTTCCTGCCTTTATGGAAAGGAAAGTGGGAACTCATAGGTTGCGGCTCAAATGGCTACAAAGTGGTGCAGAATATATCTTTCTTCTCGAGGTAACATCGTACGCTGTGACAAGAGCCAGCTCCTCATTTCAATTCACGATTGGTGCGATTGTCGGAAATCAGTAGGTTTTTGAAAGTGGTTGCATTTGGAGCGGGGTTATCGATTCGCTTAATTCGACACCACCCGAGCCACCCTCACACGTTACCAGCTTAGTATTACCCTTGTTAAGAGTCAAATATGCCGCTTTAACGACTGACTAAATTCAATGAATCGTGGGGGGTTGAACCATTCCATGCACTATCGTACAATTTCTTTGTAGCATGGATTTTGCACATGCTCGTACAAGGAATGTAGCACATTCAGCCTCAATTCTCATCATTGGACAGATGGAGAGACACATAAGGAAGAGTACCCTGAGAATATCCAGGCCTCGTGCATGTCTATTTGCAACTTCCAATTTTACCCTCTAACTTAGCCTCATTGACTTCAACTAAACAATTTCATAATTGAGAGCAAGACAGATCTTCATCGTCAAGAGCTTCAACAGCCACAATAATTACTGTGAAGCAATACGGATGCGGGCAACAGCCAATGGTAACTGGGATATCGGACTGCCATGCGGCATTCGACAAGAGCGAACAAGCATCCCAAACGCATTACAAGTGAAGGAGATCACTCGAAAACCTCGAAGAACTCAGAGCCCTGATAAGTTCATATCAGTTGCTTCAGCATTCCGCACCTCTTCCACACATAGCTCCATGCCGTATAAGTCTAAAGGTAGCCGGAAGAGACAGAAGCCTTGTATTACGACCAAATCAACTACAAAGAAAGATTGCCAATATTCTTTTCACAATGAACGATTAACGAGAAGTCGTGAACCCAAAGTCACAGTGGTGTTGAAGCAAGAGGACGACCGTGGAAGTATTTCAAATTCCAGCTCAACACCACGTGTTCTTCAATGTGACGAGCCACGAGAGAATCAACGTTCGATTACAAACGATGATTCTGCACTCACGAACTATCTCTTAGATGACCTATGCAACGATCACATTCCTCATAGGAAATCTAAACTCGTACATGGAGATCCACCTTTGACAGGTATTCAGCTTGAAGTTGACAGCACGGACGGCTCTGGACCTATGAGACAACTCGATGAGGCAGCAAAGCAGCAGAGGCAAGCTGTAGTTGTCAAACATTCGCGTTCCGTCCCCACATCTCTGTCAACCAAAAGTCAAGCTCAATTACGTGAGGAGGGTAGAAGGCATTCTGACCAAAATCACGTGTGTTGGAAAATGTCACCCCTCAGATCGGGATCTTCCACTTTCTCCGGATCATCAACTCAGCAGTCTATTCTGTATGATGATTCAAGTCTTTCTGAATCTAACAAAACCCTCGGCAGACACGTTAATATGGATAATTCCGCGATAACGGCGCATTCGCATAACGCGGAGGAACATTTGGAGGCATCACCTACGAATAATCAGTGTATCTCTTCTATGTTTGAAGCTTCCATATTGCACGACCAGTGGCAACATATTTCATGGATGAGAGCTCGTATAGCCTCGCTACGCTTCTCACTTCAAAATAAGCGCCAAGATCTACGTATGTTGCAAAGAGAGAAATCTCTTGCAGACGATGTATACTTCAAACAAGCTAAGATGAGAGAGCTTGATATGCCCTTTCCCCGTGAATGGTGGTCTGAAAAGACTACAGCAGAATTACTTCGCGATTGTCAGAAAGCCAGAGATGAATATGGTAGTTTGGAAGATGAATATAATTATCTTGAGCATGATTTAGATTCACAAGAGTATGCGCTTTCACAACACGAGGAGCATTTTTACGGTCAGCTGAGGGACCCCTCACGTTTCTTTCCCACGTCAACGCAACACATCAAATCTCCCGGGTGGCTCAACGGCCCAGAGTACCACGAACCACAACAGCCGCAAGAATTGCATCCATTGGTGGAAGCATATTTTTCGAAGCTCGGTGATCTTGAAAACTCCCGGGAACTTTATGACGACATTTTGGATGAGAAATTGAGCCTCGAAGAGAAGGTAGATCTGAGAAAGCGGTTCGATATGGAACCTCTTACTTCCGAAAATCAGGAGTGGCTGGATAGCTCTCAAGCCCAATTGGATGACTTGATCTCCAAGATCAAAATTATTGAGGAGGAGGAGAAAGAATTAAGGCAACAGTGCTTGTCATTGGGTCTCATAGATGAGGCTGGAGATCCGATAGCATCATCAAAAATTGACCGATCTGGTCCATCTTTGGATGCAGCTCTCGCGCCACTCGAGAGCCATAACCAATATTCTAAAATGCCTCCATTATTTCCTCCAGAATTAAGTGACTCGGAAAGTGTCATGAAAGCATTGGATTCCGAGAACAATCACCTACCTCCAAATGAGCGATTCGATCGATGGTCACTAGAAAAGCTTCGAATTTCTCTTCATGAGGTCAATATCTACACACATTGCTTTAAGAACTACAATGAATCACAAGATCTATGTAAACTCAAAGAGAAAATCTGCGAAGATGATTTCAGAACTGCCTGGTTTGCGGATGGCTTTACGGATCGTGATACAAGACCTACTGTCTTGACGGCTACCAATTCGACTTCCCAATAAACTCTCTGCACAAACTCAACTCACAGTAGAGATTCCCATCCAAATTTTATGTTTCCTATGGCTCGGCTCACAGTGGTACTGAGAAATTGGATAACGCCGAGGGAGGTCTCATGGCATGTGCTGTACCTTTTTCGAAGATCATTCCTACTGTGTTCTCTGAATGATTTCATTTCAACTTGAAGTTCAGGCTGGTTGTGCCGACAAGTATCATTTCCTTATTTCTTTTTGTTCTTTTCACAAATATTAGCATCAATCAAAGCATGCAGGATTCAAACGGGGGTCGGAATACACGATGCTAGGGCCTTTAAGGAATTATGTTCTAAGGCTTAACAAAGGATTTCTTTTGGGAGATTTTCTCATTGCTTGTTTGAACAACACTTTATCTTTACATCCTTCCAAATTATTCCATCGCACTTTCAACTAATCGCCTCTGCACCTGCTTAAATGCATAGCCAATGATACCAAATTTTCAATTAGTAAAGCGATGAATTTTTTTCTTTTTTTTTCTACAATTATATATGCATGGACTATGTCGGTCAGTAGGAATGATAGGAACCTTGCAATTTCTTTCAGGCTACATAGAATTTCGAAATCAAAATTGTAAACCCCATCTTGTAAGCGAGCCGACTAATAGAGTCACATGGCGGAAATTAGAGACGGGTAAATGAGCAATCAGCACGGCCAACAGCAGATACATTTGCACAGGCGAGCCCTGTTAGACTATCATTTTGGCAATACCACATCGAATGAATCTCCGGCCTATGGACTTCCCCATCTATAGAACACTACATATACCCGCAGTTGCTGACAGCTAATACTAGTCCCCCACGGGCCGTTCCATAGTTTTGTCCCACAAGTCACGACTTCTTCTTCCAATCAAACATTTGATGGTTATTCAAATCTGGCGTAGGGATGTTTAGGCATAGCTCATCAAAATGAAGTAATATCAAGCCATTAAATATTACCCAGTCAATCATCAATTACTACGCTTCAAAACCTCGCACAAAACATGCAAAGTCTCAAATCAAATTTTGAATAGTCAATAAGACCTTCCTCATTCCAAGAGGATCATACGAGTTATGTCAAACGAGGCTGTAAATCGCTGCTTTTAAAACCATTAAAAGCGCAAGCGTGTCCAATTACAAGCTCAAATATGTATAAGGCTGAGGCAAGGGAAGTGGCACAGGCGGTGAGAGCCCCTTTTTTCAGACCGCTCTGATTGATGTAAATTTGGCGGATTTTGTGCGTGAAATTGAAAGTTTGTTGACAAAATAATGCATGACGATGCACTAGGTGCAGTAACTCAGAATTTGAATGCAGTCTTGCCCAAATTATGCGGATGGACATGTCTTTGGGCCTAATGAGATGTGGCGTGCACGTGGGATCAAGTGAGTGGCTGGTCTACTTGATTAGTTGTTAATTCTGGCTACGATGTTGCATTGGATCTTCTTTTGGGAAAAGCAGCTGGTGGTTTTGGGAGCTAAAATGATCTGCATCAAATCTTGTATAGTTAACTCATTGGATATCTCTCGTGTGTGGTAGAACCTTGGCCCTTATCTTTCAGAGCGAGGTAATGAGGCAACACTGTTTGACATTGTTAGTCACTCATTATGCAAAGATTATCACATTGGTATACCATCATATAGTAGCGGAATTATACTCTTAGAAATGTGCCGCTTAGTGACAGTGGAGTTGAATTGCTCTCTATGCTTATTATAACAGAGCCTAATATGTCCAAATAAATGGGTGTCATCAATCATTGAAAAGCTAGCAAAATGAGTAAATAATAATAGGGTATTGCCCCGCCTCAGAAAGGAAAAATTTGCTCTGGCACTTGGTGAACGTTTCGTATATGCCTTCGTCTCTCGACCTCCAAGAAAATCAAATCTGGGGAGTTATCGGGAATATATGGACAAATGAGACGTGAGAAAAGATTGAAGGCGGACACAGTTACAGAGGAGAGCTGTGCCGAAAGTTGTGTGCTAAAGAAAATAGACAAAAAAGGGATTCGTGGCGCCAGAGAACATTCCTGCAGCGCATGAGGGAACTTTAGGGTGTGTGTGGAGCAGCTTAACGTATCGAGTTGACTTTGAAGAGGTCTTTCTGTAAATTAATCGAAGATACCCTATTTATGCTTATTAGAGTGGCGGCTCCTATGATTGCTGGAAGAATGACCAGATGTCCTTTTGGGTGGAAGATTCGAACGAGGACGGTGTGATTCGGCTGGCTGGACACCTTGAGTCCAGCCTGACTGATCGAGAAAGGTGCTAATCGAATTGCTGGCTACCATACCAATATTTAGAACACGGACATAGTGCTCTACAGTATATACCTTGCTGTAATTTAATCGACTCAATAAGTTTAATTCACCCTCGGGCTCATGGGTTCGTTCGCTATTGACCTGAATAGGATCCAAGACGAGATCCTCGGATATCGATTGACCGTCATTGGCCAAATAGCTGAGTTGTTTTGGAGCCTGTGGTGTTGTATGTATGATTGTATGTCGACGAGGAGCCGGAAGGTTGGGCTTGAGCGTCGCTTGCCCAGAGTATGTTTGTATAGGACTGGCATCATTAGACCAGCACATCAACATATCGTAAGTATAGTTTTGGGCAGAACACACCAGCAAACAGAATTCCCATAACCCTTTATTACTACCACAAACCTTCGAATCTCACTATATGCTTGTTGTCCAAGAAACGTAGTGCTGAAGTGAGACCCATTGCGTGTCCCTCCGTTTTCCGGAACCTTTGGCTGTGCAGGCTCAGTCCACAACATCATGAACACGCGGCCCACCTTCCAAAAGTCGTCTTGTAGACGAAATCCACCATAGACTTTATATCCTATGTCTCATTAATGCCGGTGGCTTCAAAACTTAAGGATGTAGACTTACTGGGATCCAAAGTTTCGGCATTGCCGGTGTTTGGGGCTTTGAAGATATGCTTTGGATTTCCGATTGCCCGACTCACCTCAGGATCAAATGCTTCTGTTGTTCTTGTCAGAAAAAGTCTGTAACGAAATGTAACTGGTAATTATACCTGTAGGCGGAATATGCGGTGTTGCTAATGACATATCATCAAATGCACGTGCTGTGGCATCAATGGATGGCGAAGCTACATCCGTGTTTAATTGCCATGTAGCGTTGTCCGAAGGAGGGTATCCGGATGACCAAGTCGAGCTCGAATGATTGGTAGAAGCTGTACTATAGTTTTGGACTCTGGGATCCGGAGGTATGTAGTAATCATGGTCCGAAGCCGGGGAGGCGTACACTGGCTTTGGAGTTGCATCATAATCGAGATCATAGTCAGCTTGGGATGTTGTATAGGCATTGGGGTTTGTTGGAATTGACGGCAAAAAGTCTGTAGATTGTTCATCAGATGTAACACTCTGTTCAGTCAACCCCGGTGTTCTGGGCGTAGCTGCTTCATTCTCGGATCTGTCAGGTTGTGGGTAACTGTACTCCTGTACCCCTTCGGCATTTGTTCGATAAGTATACCAAGATCTTTGGTTGGAGTCCCAGGTCCACTCACTCCAAGGGGTACTTTGATCAAATCCATCCCCTTGACTTGTTTGATAAGCCATGACTAGCGATTTGCTTATTCGTTGCCTCAGCATGCAGATGTTAATGCATTTGACCGGAATAACGTGAAGCTTTTATAATCCGACCAAACCTGACCCCGCAATCTATTAAGAGCCGCATTCAAGATTCCATTAGCCAGGAGTTCCTCCGCTGTTGATGAATTGAAGCTCAGTGTAACGATTATCCCAATCTGTCATAATTGTGTATCGAATACCGGCTCAGCGGTAATGTGGACGGCTATGTTATTGGAAGCTTACACGACGATTACCTACTGAATCTATTTTTTTTCTTAATGGTTGCATTGTGAAATGTCATAAGATCATTAGATCATTGGCCTTCCCAATGAGGTCAAGCATAGACCCTGTCTCGCAATAAACATGTACAGTGCTGCTTTTGACTTGACAGGAATGTGTACCTAGTTGCACCTCTATTGGTTTAGTTAATGCAACCATATGTAGCTTTGTTATCGAGCTGATTAAAATCGGTAAGGAACAGAGCCGCAGCGTCTCAAAACCGTTCAATACCCTCTGTAACTCAAGGTATAGCAATTAATCACACAGCTGGACGCCCAATAGCTCGATAATTCATTGACATCACAAAGAAGTCGCGTAGTGCTATTCAAACCAGATACTTGATACTTCATGAAGTGTTAGTAATACAAGCTCGCTGAGGATTCAATATGAGGTCTTTTTGGGTATAAACACTTCTTCCTGGCCAACCAGTTTAGGAATCATCTTCTGATGCATACTAACTTCTGCCACAGGCGTCCATCTTTGGCAGACCCAAAACTACTGAAGATTTGAAAAGTGCAAGTCATCAGAATGAAAGAGCTGGTCTTTTCCCTCCAGTGACAATAGTTGAAGAAGTTGCGGAAATTTCGAAAAATGGGGAGGAGTTCAATCGGGATCAGGGTGATGAACTCGACGAGCGTGGTAATGACAGCCAAAGTGAATCCCGAGCCGAAAAGTATAGATCTCGCTTGAATAATCTATTGCAGGGAATAAATAAATGGCAAGAAGTCTTATCGGCAGAATTGCAAGCTAGACAGAAGATGAGAGAGGTGGGGTTCAAACGATCGGCTGTCTCCCAAGCAGATGCTAGCTTCATGAAAGAAGTTCAACGACTACAAGCAGAAGGACAACTTGGAGCTTTTAAACAACTATCTAAGCTTGCAGATGCTTGCCAATCAGCACGTGATGGACTTGGTCCTTTGGAATATGAAGGTTTCGAAGCTCAAAAGAAGCTGCAGGGACATGTGTGGGAATTGCAACAAGTAGAAGATGCACTCTTCGAAAGTTTTGAATCCGAGCTTGGAGAAAGCTATGAAGAGTCTTCAGTCACTTCGGGCTCAAGCTCAGCACATGATATTCTTGAAATTCCTCCTCCAGACATTGTAAAGAATCATGGTATTCGAAATCAACAAGACGAAGACACTGGAGATCTGTTTCGCCCATCAACAAATATCATCACTGACATTGAGAGACAGCAAAGTCATTCTGAGGCTCCGCTCTCCATTAAAGACCCTTTGAAGAAAAGGTTAGTTGTACACGATTTAAGGATGCTACTCAGCCATGATGAAACTCAACCTATTCCGGTAGTACGCTTTAGACACTCAGTGAACACGGGGTCCAGCGTGAATGGATTGAGCGAAAGACCGCTTGCGCTTGATCAGAATAACATGGAAAGGCTGAAAAATCCACTATTGCTGGGACTGGAGAATCATGGGGGACTTTTTCTACAGGAGGCGCATTATGACCCTACGTTGTCATTAGATCCGGAAAATATTGAACAGGTTAACTACGAAGGGCAACAACTTGAACCAACCTCCGGTTCAGATTCTGGAGCTTTTGACTTAGATATGCTCGAGTACAAGGATATGAGCACTCTCACTACGAAACAGCATTCAAGTACAGAATCATTTCCCGAATTACTGACGCAATTTGGTACTAAACGCGATCGAATCAACAAATGGTTACTGCATAAGATGCTTATATCTAGATCAGAAGCGAGTCTTATTGGGCTTCAGCTACAAAAAGAGCCGGACTCATCTCCATCCCCGTGGGCGAAATTGATTGTTGCCTATTTTCAATTTAATTACAATACCTCAAAGCCTGCAAGTAGCCAGGAAGTGGAGAACATGAGCACGGAGGAAAAAACATCAGAACATCAACAGTCTTCAAATTACCGGGAAGAAGACACAACGATCACTTCTCATCCTACTTTACAGTCCAAGACTACCATTGAAGATACCACAGCTGCTCCCTTAGCAAATCTACACGCTTCTGCAAACGCCAAAACTTGCAACAATCTACCTCATCAATCAATATGCGAAGGACTGGCACAAGTCGAATCTTCCAAGCATCGTCCAATCAAAGTTGGTATACGCAGTCTCCAAGTCTCTAATTCCGAAAGGCCAATCATGATGAATCGGGAGGGAATGGCAACTTAACAGCGCAGAGCTTGTAAGAACTGCGGAGAAGCAACATAAACAGTGGAACCGGGTATGCAGAACTGCTGAAAATCCAGTAATGAGGACATTGCGGGGCAGCTAGCCAAGAGAATCTCTACTTGAATTGGCCGTTCGCAAGAGTTATGGACGAGGAATTCGAGTACCTCAATGGAGGAGCAATCATATAGCCCTTCAATAAGTCGATCTGGGATTTGAATGGTTTTATTAAAGTGGCAAACATCTTAGGAGGTATTGGGGTAGGCTGCGTGGGTGGTCATCTGAACATTCATTTCATGCACAAAGCTGCAAAGGAATTAATAAGAGGGAAAACTTGATTCGCAATTGGCAATAGCGTATCACATCAACTCGTATAATCTTTAACGGACCGTGCCGCATGGATGAGTGAGCAAAAGAAATTGCGATACCCTGAGGATTCTCATGCATCAATACTGGGTGCCAATTCGTTGGCGATAGTAGAGTGACATGAAGTAAGCGAAAATCATTCATAATGCGGCGAGAGTTTGGATCCCCCCACCATCCCCTGGTCTAACGCCTACGTATCACTAATCATAGGTTAATAAAGACGTACTGAAATCCGTCATTTCTCAGAAATATAAAATCTGAATTCATCGTGCGCAAAGTGTTCATATCATGATTAGCGAAAGCGGGGCACGATTATGATAGATGGCAAACTAGTGAAGCTTTTCACATCAAATTTTGATCAGGCTGTCTTCACTTTAAACTTCAATAATCTTTGTTTGGATCGTTACATTCAAACTTCATGTATTGTAACCACAGTATCCATGCAGGGTTCAATTAGACTCTGCCCTCTCAACTGGGATATGCAGGGTATAAGATCATCCGATAAGCAACCACCCATTCTATCTTTCCCGAGTGTTTTGTACAATCAGCTCGCTGAGCTCGCTGAGCTCGTCATCTTACGTCTAAAAGCAACTTTCGGAGCTGTATGCGTTATCTTTGGTGAAAGAGTAAGCCTAACTTTCAACGGAACTCCCGGAAACAACCCATGATCTTTAGCTTCATTCCATGAAAGAATACATGTGGAAATTTATTGTCAAAGTATGCGGTGATCGTAGTAAATGAGTTGTGAAACTAGTCTCCTAGTCCCCTGGGGTTACGCGAATCGAAATTCGGGAAGACCCCTTGAAAGTACGGTATCGTCACACTTAATTTCGTATAAGCATAATCCATCAATTACGGAACTCTTGTACTTACCCATCATTACACTTGATTCCTAAAGCCGCAACGACTCATCTCAGTTTGGTTGTAGTCTGGCAACCAAGATATCTAATCTCCTGGGTACCATTAGAGCATTCAAATCGTCTCAAAATATTCTAAATGCTGAGATGTCCCTAGATATCGAAAGGTCTTAATTGCACAGTATTTGAAGTCTGACCCGTCCGAGTAGTTTGGTAGAGAGATAACTGGGGCTGTAACACAACCGTTACAATGTACAGTCATTCATTCTTCCACCGAGAGATCATTTCACCGACAGGAAGTGAACACCGTATTTCAGCTTACCAGCCCAAGAAAAATGCATACTCAAACGTATAGCATATTTGCCAGCAATGCATGCCCTCCTTACAAATTAGTTCCCATCATGCTACGCCATGATTAGGCAAGAATCTCACAAAAGAAATTCTCCAATTCGTTGGATTGAGAAAATTCTTGCACAGTTCCTCGATATTCATCAAATTTAGATAATTATCAATGTCATGATTTGAGCTGACTCAAAGCGACTAGAACAGTCGTCCACAGCAGTTTCACAACATCAGGGCCGTACTTTGAAGTTAGTGTAATAATGTGCATGTAGGTTAGCCACGATGTTTCTTTAGAATTGGCTTAGAAGCTCATGTATAGCACGAGCTGTAAGCGGACCGGTCTGGTTCGTGTTAGCTCACCGTTATCATATCCCATCAAGAGTTGTAACAACTTGGAAAAGCATACGATGTTCTCATCCGGATCTTTCGCAGAGTGAATTGGGCGAGGGTGGGATCATAGAACAAGGCTTTAGTTTTAGTAACCCTCATTATTTGTTGGTAATATAAGTCTCCTACCACTGCGGAACGCTACTTTGTCTCAGTATTGTATATCGACGCCTTATCAGAACAAAAAACTTTGCCCATAAGTTTTCTGCCCGTGGAATCGTCGTGAGACTGTTAGTTGCGGCTCGGGCCGCTAACCGATATCCCTACATCTTGCACAACCCTGTATCTTGCACACTTTTATTTATCAAAACAAAAATGGATTATAAATCGAAATATCATTATAATCATTTCGAAATTATTTAATAGGAACTTTGAAATTACTTTTATATAATGGTGAAGTTCTGGAAGATTTAAAATATCAAATAAAATATTGATTGATTTAAAACAATATTAATTTTAAATACTGATAATTCAAGAAAAGTTTATATTAGAACTTGTTTATAAGATTTTGGAATAATTTATTGAATTATTTTATATTAATATTATCGAGATAAAGTTTAAAATTTCAAAAAATATTGAAATTCAAGTTTTATAAAAGTTTTGA